GTCAAGATAATAAGTACAGAAACAAGAGGCAGAAGAGTGTGCAGAAACAGACCAGCTCTGTGTGTTGCCCACGTTTCGACACAGGGGCAAAGCAACTGCGTGAACCAGGGCTAAGCTCTCCACGGAACACCTGGACACCTGCAGGAAAGGCCTGGTCCACCCACCCATGGTAAAGGTGGGCACAGACCCAAGCACCAAACTATAAAGTATCTAGGAGCATCCTTGTGACTTTGGATTAGAAAATAAAGATAGCAAGAGAGATAAGTGTGATCCATAAAATTGAAAATTGATGTATTAGATTTCATCCAAATTATAAACTTCTCTTTGTAAGATATTGCTCAAAGAAAAACTGCATACTCACTGGGAGAAAATATTTGCCAATCACATTCTCAAAACTCAATAAGAAAACAACCCAATAAAACAGTGGACAAAAGATTCCAATAGACACTTCACTAACAAAGATAAACAAACTTTGTACAAACAATAGACCCAACACTGTTGGTAGTTAGGGAACTGCAAGTTAATCCGCATGAGATGACTGGGGTGTGGCGCACACCTGGCTGACGCTGAACCCACCTGTGGTGCCAGGGCTGGGCCAGGATGTGGAGCACCTAACTCTCGGACACTACTGATGGGAACAGAGAATGAGAAACAGGTTGTCAGTTTCTTAAAAAGTTAAATATGCACCTACCATATGGCCCAGCTAACCCATTCCTGGGAATTTACCCAGAAGAAATGAGACCATATGTCCACACACAAAGGTGACCACAGATGGCCAGAGCAGCCTTGTTCTGAGAGCCCAAAGCTGGAAACAACCCCTGGCAGTCGCCTGGTGAATGAATGAGCAAACTCTGGGTGTACTCACCTACGGAAACCCACAGTCCAGAGGAGCAGCCATGGATAAACACGTCAAGGGTGGGTTTCCAAAGCCTCACACAGGAACAGCCGGGTGCTGACAGCCACGGGCGCGATCCACACGGCACCTTTAGTAACACAAACCAGCAGCTGGACCACTGGTTTGCAGCTGTCCACCTGGGAAAGGCTTTTTCCAAAGCCTCAGTAGAGCAAGAGGAACCCAGCAGGCAGCAGGCAGCAGGCAGCCGCCCACAGGCCTGCACTACTCCTGGGCCCAGCCTCACCCGGCATGCCCACTGCTCTGTGCCGTCTTTCACTCTTAGAGAGGATGGGATGCTAATTCACCTCCTTTGAAGCCAGCCATCTTCCATAATGCTGTCCAGAGGGTCTCTGGATTATCTTCAAACTCCCCGCCTACCACTTGGTCCACGGCACTTAATAGTACAGTGAGTGGGAAAGGCCCTGGGGAGTGGGCAGCTCCCTCTACCTCCGCACACCTTGCACAGAAGGGGGTGCACAATGTGGAATCCTGGGGTCCTGACGGGTCAGTGAGTACCAGGCCAGTGGGTAGGCCATGCTGCCATGCCCTAGGCAGCAGAAGCTGTTGCTCCCCGTGTGACTCCTGGAAGCCCCCTGACAGGTGGGTGCCCGCCTCCCTGCCTGCCTGAACTCTGCAGGCCATTCACACCTGCCACCTTCCCCGAGGTCTGTCCTTGGGAGGGGAGCCCCTGGCCCAGGGGGCCTATGAAGTCAAGTCCTCCTTGCCCAGATGGCCCACAGCCCATGGCTCACGGCACAGGAGTCCAGACGGCTCCCTTTCCGGAAGCGGGCAGCAGTTCCACTGCAGCCTGGGCCCGGGTGGGGCTGCCGCTCTGTGAGGCAGCTAGCCCTGAAGAGCGCTCCCTCCACGCTCCCACACCCAGGCTCCTTTTCCCTCCTGAGCCCAAGGTAGCAGTGGCTCTGCCTAAGGATAGAAATGCCCCTTAGACCTGGAAGTCATGGCTGGTTCCTCCCTCTGCGTCTGCTAAGTCCCTCGGAATAGGGTGTGGACACAAACAGGCCTGCCTCACAAACGACTCACACAATAGCCACAAAGGAAAGCGGAAGCCAACCGTCAGCTCCAAGGTCCATCAACTTAAATAGTCGAATACTCTCTAACTGTATCTTCTTGTGCTCCCTGCTCCGTGAGGTGTCCCTGGGTTTGTCCCTGTGGAACTACATGGACCCTCCATACCTTCCCCAGCATCGTACTCACCCCAGGGAGGCGGTGAGAGAGACTTCAGGCCCCTCACAGCGCCCAGGGGACTTTAATGTGAAGCTACAGCTCTACAGAATTCATCTGAATCCTGCTGCTTCAAAGATGGCACCTGAAGGATACAGCTTTCTAGACCACTGTATCCATCAGAATTCTCCAGAAAAACAGAGCTAAGAAGCATTTTTTTAAAAATCAGTGCTGGGGATTGACCCAGGACCTTGCATATTCTAGGAAAGTACTTCCTGCCCAATGGGGCATATTATATATAGAGAGACAATATTGTACCTGCCTATAATCCCTGCAATGGAGAGGCAGAGACAGGAGGATCATGAATTTGAGGCCATCTTCCATAATGCTGTCCAGAAGGGTCTCCGCCCTTCTGGATGGGGGAGACCCCATCACAAAAAAAGTGGAGAGAGCCATTCCTTGTAACAAGTCTCTTTGTGTTTAGGAAACCACACACAAAGAAGAGACTGCTCATAAGAACTGGCTCAGGAGCCATGGAGGGACAGTCCCAGGATCTGCCATGACAAGAGCAGGGCCAAGGAGAGTCGGTGATGTAAACTCCAGTTCATGTCCACAGGCCAGCAACCCAGGGAGCCTGGCCAAGTTCTAGTCCTGGCCAAGTGCAGAGGCAGGAGGCAACCTCTGTCCCAGCTGTGTTGGTCAGCTTCTAGTCACTGTGACCAGAATACCCGAAGAACCACTGAGAGGAGGAAGGTCTCAGGCCTTCACAAGTTCAGTCCACGGCTGGCCACTCCATTGCTCTGGGGCCAAGGTGAGGCAGAACGTCATGGAGGAGGAGGGTGCTCCACTCACAGGGGCCAGGAAGCAGAGAGAGAAGAGGAAGGGGCCGCAGGCAAGATGTCCCCACACACACACCTGGGACCCATCTCTTCAGCTACATCCCACCTGCCTGCAGTTATACCTAGTCGGTCCATTCACACCCTGAGGTCACTACCCTCATGATCCAATCATTCTATCTTGGAATAGTCCTTCGTTCACAGGAGCTTTGTGGAACCATAACAGGCATATCCAGACCAAGTGAGGCAAAGAGAGGAAGTCCTTATCAGCTGTTGGCTGTAGTCAGACGTTGGGCTGATTGGGCAAGACCCACCCACCTCAGGCAGGGCATCTGCTCTGCTCAATTTGTCTATCTAAATGTTCATCTCTTCTAGAAAGCCCTCACAGGCACACCAGAATACTATTGACCAAATGGACACACGACAATGACCATCACTCTCTGCTCCTTTGCAATGTCCAGGCCCCAAGGACATTGAGAGGCACAAGTCACTGAGAGTCCCCGATGTCAGTGCCCAGGGTCCTCCTCCAGGGTCCAGCTGGGACCATATGGTCCTCAGGAGCCTCTGGCCAGTGCCTGAGTGCGGCAGGGTCCTGGGGCAGCCCTGTTTCACCCATGTGGGACCCCTACCACGTACAATCTCTACTCCAGAGCCCCCTGGGCTCAGCCTGGCGTAACCCTGCCCAGCCAGCTTCCTCCCGTTTCTGCTCACACAGGGGTCAGCTCCTATCAGAGAGGGGCCTGACCCTCAAAACCCTGCTTTCCTCCTCCTCGGCCCAGACGTGTGCTCCAGAGACCCCCAGCACTGCAGCCCAGTGCCGTTTCCTGGGGAGCCATCCCTGGTTCCCTGCTCGCCGGGACAAATAGGAGTGGGATCAGCACATCAAACCCCTCCCTCGGCTCCGAGTCAAGTGCCACCCCCAGGTGGAGAGGGGGGTCTCTCCCCCAGCACCAGGACCTCCAGGACCACGAGCAGCCTCAGGAGCTCCAGGGCTGGAGTCCTGAACTCCTCCTTACTCCTGGTGGGAGCCACACCCAGTCCTCCCAAGGAAACACACAGGGCTCTTCCCAGAGGACCCCAGGTCTGGCTCTGGGGCTGCAGGACTTGCCACATGGGTGGCTGAATGTTTTCCGTGTCACCTGATGGTGAGGGTGCAGTGCTGCCGCTGCTGCCCGCCATCCCTGGCAGGTCCCCAGGTCCACCAGCCTCCAATGGACGAGATTCTGAGCTGCGTTCACGTAGCCTCCCTCCTCTGCAGCACCTTCCAGGACCCCAGAGAGCCTGCTGGCTGCAGAGCCTCCCTGGGCAGCAGCACACGAGGAGGAATCTGCTCAGGCCACCACATCTGCAGACCACAGCTGGGCTGGGCCTGAGAGACGGGCACTGACCTGCTTCTGCACGTGGCCACTGCAGGGTCCCTGGCAGGTCAGTTCCTGGGCCCTCCTCTGCCCAGCTCCACCATAACCTTCCTGTCCTTCTTCCTGTCCCACACCCTCAACACATCCAACCCCCAAAAGTCCTAGAGGAGGGGCCAGTGGGCTTTCTGGGAACCTAAAATGGGAAGCCCTTCCCTACACTCACCACCGCCAGAACAGGGATTTCCCCAACGGTGGACACCATTCCTTGGTCCCCCCACAGGAAGTCAACGCTTGCAGACCAGGTCGGAGCCTGGTGGGAGTCACAGCCGGGAGGGAGGGACTTCCCGGGACTCTGTGTGCTGGTCTGGTGCGCGGATGAGTCGACTCTTCACTGCACATCTTACTGAAGCCACCACCACTCTGGAGACGCACGCTCCCAGGGGACAAGCCGCTCCTGTTCACGAGCTGCCCAGGAGGCTCCTTCTTGCCCCTGGCGGGACGTCAGGCTGCAGCAGACGCTGGCCCTGCCCAATCCCCCCAGGCCTCAGCCCCTCACAGTACGGGACGCCGACGGTGAGGCTGCGTGGTAGCCTGGGAAAGGGAGCCTCGGCCACCCCGTTGGCCTCCACATTCGTGATGAGCAGTGAATTCAGGGGTGAGCCGTCCGTGTCCTCCACCCCTCCTGAGATGAGCCACAGCAGGCCTAAGGCCACCACAGTAAGACACAACTTCAAAAAATACCTTTATTCTTTCCCACGGGGATGCCTCCACACACACCCCAGGAGAGGTCACCTGCTGCGCGTCCCAAGCACCACTTTCTGCCACTTTCCTTCCTCTCTGTGCACGTCAGTCAACTGCTTCGGCTTCTTCAGCTTCTGAGACTGTCATTGTCCCTGAATGGAAAAAAGAAACAGTTCTGTGCCTCAGAATGTCTGGCCGCCCCAGAGGCTGGCCAGGGGTGTAGAGCGCATCTCCTCAGCAGCCACTGGGCAGTCCTTTACTCAAATGCCCGCCAGCAGGTGGCCTGCGCTGCCCACTGGGCAGAAGCCTCTGCCTCCGGCAGTGGAAGGGTCTGCATCCCTGGGCGAGGTGGGCATGTGTCCTGCAGAGCAGCCACAGGCCCAGCGTGGTGCTGGACGGGACAGGCGGGAGGTCTCGGTCAAGCCACGTGGGGCAACTGGGGGAGAAGACTGCACACCTCAATCCACAGGAGGCCATGATTTGGGACACCCCTTCTCTAAAGTGCCAGGCTGCCAACCTATGAAAACGGACACGCAGCCACACGGGCCTCCTGAGAGTCGGCAACAGGCACGTGGCTGCCTCCCGGAAACCTGGGCCCGTGGTGGCCACAGTCTGCACCAACAGCGGCCACATGGCTCTGCAGTGCCCCTGGGCACTCTGGACCCTGCAGGTATGCCGGGTCCTGCCCAGCGCCTCACTCTGCCACTGCCACCTGCAGTGCTGGTGGCCAGAGCAAGGGGCACAGAGGAGGACAGTGCCCACTGTAGAGGCCACTCCAGCCCGGGTGGCCAACGCAGCGCTGCCCCACTCATAACCGTGGGGCGCTGAGGCATCCCTAGAGCGGCCTGGGAGGCGGGCTGGGGTGCAGGGTGCCAACTGCAGGGTGCAGGGTGCCCCCTGGGCGCCTACCTTCCCCCTCCTGGGGCTCGGTCTCCCCGCTCTTCCGGGAGGTCTCGCTTTTTGAGGCCTTCGTGGCTGTGTCATCGTCACCGCCAGCCGTGCCCTCCTCGGAGCTCCTCATTCTCCTGACCTCTTGGACAATTCTGATGGGAAGAGTTTGGTCACAGCCAGAGAAGGGAGGGATGGAAGCGGCCCCTCCTCACACGGCGCCCCGGTGGAGCACGGGGGACCGAGGTGAGGCCTGGCCTCGGCCACGTGTTTTGGCTCTAATGTGTGCTCCAAACAGAAGGCTTGCGCGCGGCCTCCAGACTCCCAAAGGCAACCCGGAGGAGGAGGCGGACGTCAGGCAGCCCGGCACCGTCAGGTCCTCTGCGCCAGAGGCTCGCAGCTCCGCTGGCCTGGGAGAGCTCTGCTGCCTCTGCTGCCTCTGCTGGACCAGGCAGCCAGCCTCCCAGAGCTGGTGCGGGCGTCCCAGAGGGCTGTGGCAGCAGGGGCGGGGCCCCGGGAGAGTGCTCAATGCCAGCTCTGCCCGCCCACAGAGCACAGCAGCCCCTGCACTCCCTCCACAGAGATGGGAGGAGGGACTCACACACGTCCTACAGACAGGGGGCACGCCATGGGACAGACACTTGGTCCAGGGGTTCAGTGCAGGCACCAGCCCTGGAGACAACAGGGGGCCAGACTATCCCCACTGACCCCCTGGTGCAAACCACAGGACCTCCCTGGTGGGAGGGTCAGGGTCCCAGAGGGGGACAGTCCTGGCTGCAGAGGCTGGGAGGGCACACACGGGAGGTGGAGTAGCTGGAGTCCCAGGTGCCCTCTAGGTGCTGGGTGTCACCTGTGTCAACAGGAGCTCTAGAGGACACCAGGGGAGTGGGTGGGAGAGGGAGCCAGCCCGAGAGGCACCCCAGACATCCTGTCCATCCCCATGAAAGACACACAAGACTCACTTGTAAATAACAACAGCGATGAAGGCGATGAAGGCGACAGCAATGATCACAATCAAGGCAGAGAATACCTGCACATACGCTGCAAAACAAGCGCAGGTGAGCGTGCGGCCTGGGGCCGCCGTGGCCACCACAGGGAGTGTGGGCAGAGCATCGGGCCCAGCTGGTGAACAGCCAGGCCCAAGTGCGTTAAGAAACAGTCCTTGATACAGCATCGGGACCCAGTGGGCTCACAAGGGGCCCGGCAGAGCCTCCCAGCAAGGGTCAAAGGCAGGAAAGGTGGCCCCCGCCCAGAGCGGCCCAGGCCTCGGGACTGTGCTCCCTGCTGCTCCCATCAGCCCTCTGCCCCGGGGGTCAGGCCTGAGGCAGACTGAAGGCTTTGCCCGCTGGGTGCCTGCAGCCCTGACACCCACAGGAGCCCCCTGCAGTCATGTCCTACAAGCAGGTGGGACCCCCGTGCTTCAAACCTGCTACCTTCTCTTCACCAGGGTGAAGTGAGGGCTCCGGGAAGGTGACTGCAGATGAAGTTCCTGGCATGGCGGCGGCGTGTGCACAGCGATCTCCATTGCTATTATTCTCATTACCATTCATTCTCTAATTGCTTTTTCCCTCTCTCAAGGGAAAGAAATTGGCTCACTCACAAATGCCTAACTCAAGTGACAGATTTGCTCCAACCCCTCACCAGTTACTCTGAGTTGTTTCTGAGTGTCCCTGACAGGAGTGAACAAGGCCAACAGCTGTGACTTCCCTGGAAGGTGCAGGAGTTTCCAAGGCTGCCCTGAGAAAGTCCAGCTCGCAAGTCTTAAAACACAGGAGCGGACTGTGGCCCTGCCCAGGAGCCCCCCCCTGAGGCGTAGGCCTGGCAGGCCGCCTTCTCTCCAGGGCCCAGGGACGCCTGTCCTTGCTTCTTCAGGGCTCTGTGAGGTTGCCGGTCGTCTTTGGCATTCCTAGTTTGTAGCTGCACCACACCTGTCTCTTCCTAGGACGCCAGTCATGTTGGACTAGAGGCCTGCTCCAGGGTGACGTCATCTCAACTAATCACATCCACAAAGATCCTCTTTCCAAATAAGTTCACAGTCACAGGTCCCAGGAATTTGGACCTCAACGTGGGCTTTGTGTGGACACGCTCGGTCCACAGAAGGTGAGCCACAGTGGCAGAAAGCTGCCTCCCGGCAGGTGACCTGGATTCCAGCAGCTCCACCACCCTCAACAGCTTCACAGAATGGATGAGGCCCCGGGAGCCTCTGGGTGGAGGCTGAAGTCAGAAAGCTGAAGGGGGTGAAGACCCACCTGCTAGGGATGGCAGCCCTTGACCCCCCATGTGGGCGTGACCTCAGGAAGCAATAGGTAGGAATACAGCAGGTGCTCAATGACTGAGAGGTCATCAGGGAGAGGGTGAGGAGAGAATGAGACTCGGAGTCATGTGTTGTTGGCTAACAGGATCCAACGCTGGGCAGTGGACAGTTAGGAGGCTGCCTGTGCAGACTCAGCCCTGTCAGTCGGTTTATCCCTTTAAATAAAGGCCTTTCTCGGGAATTGGCCTGTGGATCTCCAGCTACTCAATCAGCTTGGCCTCCAGGGTGCTCATCTCCCCGTCTTCACACCCCAGAGAAATGTCCTCCCATGACCAAGGCCGTCCTCTGACTCTAGGAGACACTGTGGAGTGGAGCTTCGGAAGCTGGCCAGGAAGATCCTGCAGCATCTGCCCCGCTTCCTTAAAGCCTGGAGAAAGACAGTGGCCAGGCCATGAGCACTCGAGTGGCCTTCATGACCAGGAAAAGGGGATCGCTGTGACACTCTGACACCCGGACCACCACCAGCAGAGCCAGTCTTCCTGGAAATCACCTCCAGCCCCCATCAAGCAGCAAGGCACGCAGCCTGGGGGCATCCTGAGGCAGTCTCCCTACCAACCAAGTGCCAGTTCACCAGACACCAGGTGCTGTGATGGACCTCTCAGAAGTAATAGCCACTGAAGAATAATCGTTCTCTTGAAGGAATTTCTCGGGAACTTTCCCCAAATACAGTTAAACAAGAGTTTTGAAATCATCTCAGCAAGTCCAACACCTGCCGTCAAGGTCCTGAAGTCAAACACTTAGGAGAAATGTCACATTAAATAATGGCCCCCCCAATAAGACTGAAGAATGAAGGAAGTCTTTCTCTTTGAATCCCCAGTTCTTTCTGAGAGATCTCATGCTAACTCCCCCAAGTTCGTATTTTTAATAATACAGATTATGCTGCAGCACAACGTGCACTTCAAACCAGCCAATTTAAGAAGTTGGTGAAAGGTTTTCATAACATGGAATTATGTGCACAAAGAACTCATGATACCCTGTCACTGAATACTACAACTTACCCAGCACAAAGGTTCAGTCGCCGTCTTGAATGAGAAAGATGTCAAAGAAATGAAAAATAATTTGAGGGCACAGTGAGAACCCAAGTGCAGGGCCCGCTGCCCAGACTCTTCCCACAGCTGGCCCACCCTCCACTGGAGAGACAGCAGAGCTGAGAGAAAGCACGGCCCACACGACCTTTATTACAAGGGGAAGAGTGGAAGGAGGCTAGGACCTGCTCTCCTGCAAACATGATGCACCCACTTGCAAAAGAGGGGCGCTCCTGAGCCCAAACTCCCGAGAGCCTAAGCTGTTTTCTGAGTTCGTTAAGGACACCAGCAGCTAGGTGCAGCGGAAGACACAGTTCACCTTTCCACAGAGTGGTAGGCACCCGGTGATCTTCCTGATTCAAGCCATGTGGGACACAACATCCACAAAATGATCAACATCTGCATGAAACGCAGATGAAGAAACAGGCTGAGACAGATTACAGAGCCGCGGCAGCTCGGATTGTGGACCTGCCTCGCATGGGCATTCTATCACACTACGGGCTCCCTGCCTCGTCAGGGTATTAGGGAATGGGATGATCAGTTGTCAAAGGTAGGAGCTGCTCTGTGACCCAGCCTGGGAACCCAACATCTTCCATATCTCTATTTGGAGAAGGGTTGGGGCTAAAAGAACAAACCTGATACCTCTAGGATGTCCCTGTTTTTACTTTGAGAGCTCCAAGTGGTGAGTCTCAGAAAACCTAAGCTGCATAAGCATCCAGGACTCTGGAATCCTACAGGAAGCACAGCTTCATGGTGGAAGGAGGCAGCTAGATCCCACCCACCTACTGCTCCTCACATGTTGAGACGGGAACATCAAACCCACAAGGCCACAAACTACAAAAGATGACAAGTGAAATGCAGCCAATTATCCAGAACCCCACTGGAGCCACAGACCCAGCCTCAGGAGAGCCTGCCACATGCTCCAGAGAACATATATTGGGACGCCGCATGTGGCCAGACCACGCTGGGAGGCCAGGACTCAGGAAGGTCTCCCCATTGGCTAGAGCTGGAGAACACCATGCTAAGTGAAATAAGCCAGACCCAGAAAATCAAGGGTGGACTGTCTTCTCTCATATCTGGAAGTTAGAGTAAAATAAGTGAGGAAATGGGGGGGGGCGCGGACAGCATAAATACATAGGGAAGATCAGTGGTGTAGAGGAGGAGATGGAGAGGGAGGGAGGAGGACTGGAAGCGGGGTGCTAGGGCTGAAATGGAGTAGGTCAAATTCTATGCATGTAGGATTTTATCAGAACGAACCCAACTATTATGTACAACTATAATGCCCTCATAAAAGAAAACAGGAAAAGGTCTCCCGCGTACGCCTCTGGCTAAAGGTGGAGGCCCTGAGTCAAGACAGGTGGAGAAGGATGGTTCCTCCAGGAAGTAGAGCTACACCTCCTGGGCCAGGCCCACAGAGGTTCAGCAAAGCAGCTAACGTCCAGGATGGGATCCACATTGCTGGCAGAGCAGGAACCCCACCAGTCCTTCCTCCACAGCAGCAAGGAGAAGACTGGCACACACTTTGGCAGAAGCCTGGACATTAGCCACAAGCTTGCAGAAACCTGTTTGCTACAAACGAACAGCTGAATCGCTAAAAGAACAGCAAGCTTTGAGCATTTAAACTTGCCTTGTTCCTGCCTCTCCTGCCCACTCTCTAGTATCATGGTGGCCTTGAAAATCAACTGTACAGCAGCCACTGGAGGGCAGAGCAGGGTCAGGGCCCTCCAAAGTCCCACTGCCAGAGGACAGCCTTCACTGGATCTGTCTGACGCAGCCCCTGGAGGATTCAGCCTGAAAGGCCTTTATCTGACTTGACCCGCAGCTCCGTGGGGGAGAGCACCTTCCCCAGGCAGTCACTGAAAACTATCCGAGGCAACTTTTTGAGTCCAGGGGCACTGATGGTCAGTTGTGCTGGGCTGAAGCGGTGACCCGCAGTGGGACAACAACAGGCCAACCACAGCCCGAGAGAGGAATCCGGGGAGTGTGGACTCCATAGGGAGCTACAGAAAGCCCTGACACCATCTGGGGGACCCCAAGGGTCACCCACGTGATCAGAAGGCCTGAGAAGGCCCTGAGCATCAACAGTGGCTGACCTTGAGGCTATAGGTCAGCAGGAAGTGGAGCCCTCTGGCTGGAAACTGGCTGGCCGGATACCCACTTGTAGCCCTTGGCAAAGACGGTAAGGCTATGTTTCCGGGCAACCAGGAACTTTCTGTCCAGTCATTAGCTGACCACCAGCCAACCAAGCAGAGCCTTCAGTGTCCACACACCACAAAGGATACAGATTTTGCAGAAGTTGTAAAAAAAAAAATCAAATAATCACTACAATAAAAGCAGCAATAACAATAAGGCTGATCTCAGAATTGTAGTGTAATATTCCTTTAAATATCCAACTGTCAACAACAACAGAAACCATGGAACACGCAAAGAAATAGTAAGGTATGGTCATACACGTGAGAAATGCCATCTATGGTACCTGAGGAAACTGAGGCATTGGGCTTACTAGATGAATACTTCAAGCCCACTATTTAAAATATGCTCAATATGCTCAAAGAACTCAAAAATCATCTCTAAAGGACTAGAGTATAATATTTCATTAAATAGAGAATATCAATAAAGAGATTAAAATGATTAAGAAAAGGATCAACTAGCCAGGCACAGTGGCACATGCCTGTAATCCTAGCAACTCAGGAGGCTAAGGCAGGAAGATCACAAGTTTAAGTTCAGCCTCGGCAACTTACCAAGGTCCTAAGCAACTTAGCAAGACTCTGTCTCAAAATAAAAATGAGGGTCTGGGGATATAGCTCAGTGGCAGCGCACCTGCCTAGCATGTGTGAGTCACTGAGGCCCTGGGTTCAATCCTCAGCACCCACATAAAAATAAGAAAATAAATACAATAAAGAGCCATCGACAACCAAAACCAAAACTATTTTTAAAATAAAAAGGGCTGAGGCTTTAGCTCACGGTAAATTGCCCCCGAATTCAATTATCAATACAGAACAAAGGAAAGAAAAGGAAGGAAGGGAGGGAGGAAGGAAGGAGAAATTCTGGAGTTGGAGTTGGGGATGTAGCTCTGTGGAAGAGTTCTTGCCTAGTATGTATGAGGCTTTGGGTTTGATCCCAACACACACACACACACACACACACAGAGAGAGAGAGAGAGAGAGAGAGAGAGAGATTCTGGAGTTGAAAGTACAGTAACAGAAATGAAAATTTCATTAAAGGGTTCAACAGCAGATTTGAACAGGCAAAAGAATCCACACACTTCAAGATAGGTCAATTAAGATTATCCAGTTTGAATAACAGCAAGGAAAAAATCAATAAAACAACCGCCATAATGACACCGTTTCAGAGATCTGTGGGACACCATCAAGTGTACCGAATATACGAGTCCCAAACGGAGAGGAGAGAGACAAAGGAAGTGAAAGATGAATTTCAAGAATAATGGTGAAGACTTTCTAAATTTAATTAGCATGAATGTACACACACTAGAAGCTCAGCACATTCCGAGGAGTCTGAGTTCAAAGCAATCCAATGTAGACATATGACAAGGGACCAGAAGGCAAGGAGACTCTCAGAGGTGGCACGATGGAAGTGACAGGCACATACAGAGAAGCTGGAGGCTCAGAGGCAGCTCAGCTCAGCCAGGCTGAGGCAGAGAGCAGGCCGGCATTCCTCGCCCAGCAGCTCTACCTGCACATTCCAGAGGAACCAAGGCTGGGGACCAGTGCTCGCAGCTCTGCCTTACAAGGAAGAGTAAGTCAGTTCTGCAGGCTGGGGTGAAAGGAAAGGAAGAGAGTACAGCTGAGTTACCAACACACCCCACGTGAAACGCCGGACCTGCCCCTGGGATGGAGGACAATCAGAGCTAGACATAGGAGTGGCCAGTTCTTACCTCTGGTCACCACTGTAATGAGGGTCCAGTTAGAAAAACTAGGCAAGAAAGTGAAAGGTGTCCAGACTGGAAAGGAAGAGGTTCAACTAGCTCTCTCTGCAGATGACATTGAGCTTATATAGAAAGTCCTAAGGACTCACCTAAAGAAACAGGCAGAACTGATCAGCAAATTCAACAAGTTGCCAGACACTAGATCAATATACAAAAATCAATTGTATTTCCATATACCGGCAATGGACAATCTGAAAGTGAAATTAAAACAATTCTGTTTATTATAATGTCAAAAGGATAAAACACTTAGAAGTAAATTTAACAAAAAAAGTTCAAGATTGGTACATTGAAAAATAATAAATGTTGTTGAAAGAAATTGAAGGCCTAAATATATGGAAAGACATCCCTTGATCGTGGGTTACGAGAACCGGTATTGTTCAGATGGCAATATGCCCCAAATTATCTACAGACTCAATTTAATCCCTATCAAAATGCTGCATGGCTTTGGGGTTTTTTCCTTGTTGTTGGTTTTTTTGCAGAAATTAATAGGCTGATCTGAAAATCAATACAGAAAAGCAAGGGACCTATAATAGCCAAATTAATTTCAAAAAAGAAAAAGTTGAAGGTCTCACACTTTCTGACTTTGAAATTCACTACAAAACTACAGTCATCAAACTGTGTAGGGATGGTTAGGGACAGGAATGCAGGTCAGTGGATGAGCTGGAGTGCAGCGATGACGTTTCCACAGCACGGGTGTCGACCCAGGGGAGAAAGGTGAGCCGACGGTTGATTCTGCTCAGTGGAGAAGTGGCGGTGGACAGCTGGACAGCCACAGGCAAGAGGGTGGAATTAGAAGCCTTCCTGGTCCCAAATGCCAAAATCAACTCCAAGTGGGTCAAAGACCTAAATGGAAGAGCTGCAGCTGTCACCTCTGAAGACGGAGATCTTGGTGACCTCGGATTAGGCACTGGCTTCTAGATGTGATGTCAAAGCAAAATAGCCAAAGTAAAATCAGACAGAGGGATGCCATCGCCACTTAAAATGCTGTGCCTGGAAGGACACCACCCAGAAGTGGGAAGACCCTGCGAGGACGGCAGGAAAGCTGCGGTTCCCATGTCTGACGGGGTCCGAATGCAGACTCCAGAGAGAACCCCAGCGCCATGGTGAGAAGACAGTCCCACACTGAGCCGAGATCTGCCTGGAATTCCTCCAGAGAAGAGAGACCCGTGGCCGGCAGCACGTGTAAAGATGCTCTATCATCAGGAAATGCCAACCCAAAGCTCCATGAAGACAGAGGGGCACCATTTCAGTGGCCACCAACAGAAGAACAAGTGGTCTGAGGACGCAGGAGGCTAGAGCCCCGGACCAGGACGTGGGGCTGGAGGGCATGGCCCCGGAGGGCAGGCTGGAAGTCCCTCAGCATCTGCACATGGCGTCAATTCGTGACCCTCCAATCCCATTCCTAGATCACATTTCCGAGAGAATTGAGAATCTATGTTTGCACAGAAACTCGGCCACAGTGTCAAAGCAGTCTTGTTCCTAAGAGCCAAGGAAGAGAACCCGCCAAACGTTCGCCAACTGGTGACTGGATGAGGACACGCCTCTCAACGCAGCGGGGTCGCTCATCCACAGAAGGATGAGGCCCACCAGTGCTGCACCGTGGACTTGAAAAGCATGGAGAAGGGCACCTGCCAGGCGACTCCAAGGTCCAGACGAGAGGCCGCCGAGGCAGAGTGCTGCTGCGGGCAGGGCCAGGAGGGACCGCTGACCGCTGGGGGCCTCCTGATGTGATGAATCGGCAGAGATGGTTGCAGGAGTTTGTGAATTTACTAAAGCCACTGAGGCGTGTTCCTGAGAAGAGCGGAAGTCACGGTATCACAGTCTCATCTCAATAACAACTTAGTAAAAGAGGGAAGTTCCGGTGGCTTCTGTCCACAGAAGAGGGGAGGTGCTGGCAACAGAAGACCCTCTCAGCCACTGAGGGTGTCCACTGTGACCAGTTTTCTCCTTTCCTGGAGGAGCCATGTGTCACCTTCTTTTGCCTGAGCACTAGATCTTCACGGTGAAGTGGCTGGCCACCTCCCCAGCAAGCTTCATCCTGCCCACTTTCTCCTTGAACTCACTCTGAGGAGCTGGCGTGGGCAGCCCCGGCAGGTCACTCTAGCCCCTAACTTCCTGAGCCACAGGGAGCAGGAGGAGGACACACAGGGCCTTGCCTCTGGGGTGCAGGAGGAGAAAGGCCGACAAAGGTTTGGAATCCTCCATTCCTCCAGCGTGCTTTCCCTCACGGCCAGGCAGGGAGGGTCCTGAGCGGCTTCCTGAGCCCTGGAGCAGGTAAGTAGTGCTGCAGGTGGCCAGCCTTCCTGGCCTGCAGGGCTCACGTCCCTCCTCTCTGAGGGCCTTGAGGGTAGGCTGTCCCAGGAGCTCTGGGGCCTTCCCCCCGCCTCTGACAGGCTGTAAGGCAGGGAACACACACGTCTTTATGTGGAGTTATGAGGGTTTGGGAACACAGACTTGGAACATTTCAGAAGCACGGAAGGCCAGGCTCTGATATGTGAGAGTGCGTTCAGGAGCAGTGGACCTCACCAGCAGCACCTGGCTTACATAGCTCCCCACACCTGCACTCCCACCACGGCTGGTCACCTGAAGTGGCTCTCTAGGGACACTCCTCCTCCTGGAGACTCACGGCAGGTGGGGGACAGGCTTCCCTACAGCTCCCTCGCCAGGCTGGCCAAGGCACCCCTGCCATGCTAACAGCTACTTGGCTCCCAGGCTGGACCTCAGGACTGGATCTCTTTCCCTATTCTGCTCAAGCCATTCTGGAGAGTCCCAGCTGGGTCAGGTCCCTCCACGGTCCTCACAGTCTGTGGCTGGGTGCCCACCCTGCCTGGTCAGACTCTCCCCTGACTATGGCCAGCAGCTGCCTGCCCCTACCTCCCTCGGAGCCAACTTCTGCAAACCCTAGAATGACCAGACTCTTCCAAGGAGGGACATGGGCAGTCCCCTCCCACAGCAAGTCCTCTGGCCTGGGAGAGGGATTTCTCACTCTCCCGGCCACCCCTGGAAGTCCGCTGCCCTGGCTAATGCACTGAGCAGAGTGCCATGACCTGCGAGCAGGGAGAGGAGGGCCCCTCAGTGGGGACTGGGGACGACGCAGCCCCACACTCACTCGGAACCGCCTTCTCGTAGCAGACGCCCTTGTAGAAGCAGCACCCAAGGTCCTTGCAGCGGTCCCTGGAGACGTTGTAGTCGCAGATGTCATACAAAGGAATGTCGCACACTGCAGAGGCACAGACACAGCCCTGAGGACTGAGGCCACGGGCGGCGGAGGCAGAGGACGAGCCACTGTGGACTTAGGTGGCCACTTCCCTTGCTCTTTAAATTACATTTCATGTGAATCCCACTTTGAAACTAAGATCTGTAATGAATTAAATTTCTGAACAAAATAATGCCAGTTAATCCCAGCACAATGCAGGGGCCTGGGGGATTGAGAAGATAACACAACTCAGCGCAGCGCACATGGGGCCCAGGCTCGGCAAGACCCCGGAGACCTGTTGTGGAGGTCTGGCTCCCACCCTTCGGCATGCAGGGGCTGAAACCACCAACATGGGCTGAGAATTATGTCAGAGTTTAAAAGTCAATCCAAAGGACAGAAACTTCAAATCCTGTTGTGAATCCCCAAAAGGAGAAAAATGAACACTCGGTGCCGTACTGATTAAAGCAGCGACCTCTAGTTCCTGGCAAGGCACCATCCGCAGCTGTGAGCAACGCAGGCCCTCAGCTGGCACAAGGCACCTGGGGGATCACACTGGACGGGTCACAGCTGTAAAGGGATTTCACACAAGCCCTAGAAAGGGGGCCTCTGCAAGCCGAGGCCAGAGGGGGAGCAGGAACCCTGCTGCGAGCCATGCTTCTATGAGGCCAGGCTTGTGTGCTCCCGGCCATGGGGTCTCTGCCATTTCCCCCGCAGACTGTCAGGAGGAGACAGGGAAGCCACCCCACCTTCCGGACCTCTGATGACTTTGCTTTCCTTCTCCTCCCTTTCCCAAGATACCCCACTCTGGGTTTGCAAAAACTGTTGCCACAGTATTGCCCTCGGCCAGAAATCACAGGAAGGCCTCTGCACATCCCCAGCAGCAGCTGGCCCAAAGACACCAGCCAGCCAAGAGGGCCACTTGGGTCCTGCATGCCAGCCTCCCTGCAGGCCGCATGGCTGGCACTGCTCTGTGCTCCGTGGCCTGGCACTGTGCTGTGGCATTGGGGATCTATCCACTGACCCTGTTTCTGGCATGGTCAGACTACTCCCAAAGGCCTGGGGACAGAGGGGCAGTTACACTGTGGATGGTTGCTGCATTCTGTGCTTGCTTTCTCCAGGAAGATGTGTTTACGGAGGTGACTCTGCGCTGATCCAGCTTCCAGGAAGTCCAGACATGGGAACCTGCCTCAGGGAGCAACAGTCCCTCTGTAACGGAGCACTGTTCCAGGGCAGGCAGTGCCAGGAGCGTCCAAACACCACGTCCATACGTGGCTCTCACCAGAACTTCCATCAGCCGGTGCCTATGACAGTGGTGGCAGACCTGTAGCTCCCCTGCAGGTGGAGACCCACGGCCACACGGAGCAGGGAGCAGCATTGGCATAGACTGGCTTCAGACTTGAGTTCTACTTTCTCCCCACTGTAAAGCGCCTCCCCTGCCCCACCAATGCATGGGAGAAGTCCCCCACCTTCAGCAGGTACCTCCCCAAAGCATTGGGGATCTATGCGCTGGCCCTGTTTCAGAGAAGCAGGGGGGCCAACGCCTCACTCCAGACACCTGACTCCAGCAGAGCATGGGCAGGAAGTGCCCCGTCGAGGAGGGGAAATAGCCACATGGGGGCTGATTTGTTCTCTTCGCCCTCGGCACAGGGTGCACAACACCCAGACAGCATTTCTCATCTTGGCCGTTTCCATATCTTTACACAGCGCTGGCTCCCTGGCTGGTTGTAAAATCCTGTCCTCACCAAGTCTGTCCCCACTTTCCTCTTTAATCCAGCCAGTGGCATCCCGGGCCTCTTGCTTCTTGGTTTTCCTTCTCTGGGACTGCTGGGTTTTCAGGTTCCTCCCATGTGTTGACACATTTCTTAAAGGCACTGGACCCTGCAGGACCTCTCAAACGTTCCATTCCTGCCGTGACCCCTCTGCCCTGCTCCACAACCCAGGAAGACTTTGGGTTAGGTAAGCTGAGCGTCCTGGGCACAAGGCCACTGCAGGGTCGTCTTTGTTGGAGATACATCCCGTCTCCACAGTCCCCAGGTCACATCTCTGCCTGAAAGCTCTGAATGGCAGCTTGCTAAGGAGCCTTGGAGGTCACTCATGAGCTCTGGCAGTGGTGGTGTCAGGGCCACCACGTCAGACTCAGGCTGGGGCAGACCCAGGTTGTGGGCTCCACCTGAGCTGCCGCCTCACAGAGCCAGGGAGCCAGGAAGGCAGGCCACCCTGCTCTGTGGAGGAGGAGAGCTGAGCCTCAAGACAGCCCCGGGGCTTCCACTTGCTCTGGAGAAATAGAGGCCCACAGGCTTGTGCGTGCCGCAAAAGAAGCTTGTGAGCTCCCCAGGTGGAGCTTGAGGGCCAGGTGGGCAATGTTGTCCCTTGTCCCCTGAGAGTTGTCAAGCACCTATGGTACTGAAACAGCAATTCTCTGCTGCTGCTGCTGCTGCCGCCAACATTATAGAGACCCCTCAAGGACAGGAAAGGGCAGGGGTCACCAGGTGCTCAGAGGTGGCATGGAATGGTCAGTTTTCCAGCCCCCTTGGGGACTCCGTCACTGTGTTTAAATGTGGCTATCCAGGAGGACGGGGTGTTCCCACTCGCCCCTTTCCACCACCTCCCTCTCCTTTCTTCTGATCAAGTTACTCTTGCATGACTACTCGGAGAGGAGATGGTAAGGTCAGGGACTTCCCGTGATGTGGCACCTCAAATGTCACATGCCAGGTGGGGGATGTGCCCCTGACTCTCCCCAGATGTCTTCCCTCCTGTCTTAGGAAGGGTCTGACAAGGAACCGAGCCGTAGGAGACTGAAGCAACCTCCTCCCTGCAGAGGAACAAGAGATGCTATCCCCCTCCCCACAGACTGCCGTGCCCCCCCTCCCCGTCAGCTCTCGTGCACCAGAGGCTGGCCGTGGGAGACACCCCAGCGGAGCATGTCCCAGCATCGCCACAGACACAAGGCTGGTCACAGAGTCTCCTCAGCAGGGACAGTAACCACAGGAGACGTGCAGGGGCGGGGCTTCCCCATGAAAGCACAGCCCCTCACTTTGAGGAGGAGAAAAGTGTCCTGAGGAAACTTCTCTGAGAGCTCAGATCTTCCCACCTTATCCACCGTGAAGCCAGGCCAGGTCCAGCAGATTATTGCTGGGCAAGCTGCCAAGGCCTCAGGGCCAAGCCTGTGCCCTCAAGGGACTCGGGCCACCACTGGGCACCCTATGCCCGCCCATGGTACCATCATCACGGAATTCAGCCACATGTGTTGGAAATGACACTGTCCTGGAACAAGGACACCAGCTCTCTGTGGAGCTCAGGAACCAGAGAAGCGAGGAACAGGGAGACACCTGGGGATCCCACTGGGATGGTGGAGGCCAAGACCCATTCTGTGCACAGAGGCCTGCACCAGCCCAGCCAAAGCCTAGAGTCCTTCAGAGATTCTGAAGTCAGGGCACGCAAAGCGCAGGGCCATAACCCACATGGCCCCGAACAGAGAATTCAGACAAGGGTCTCCTAACAGGCACTTCCGAGCAGAGGAGGGGAGCCAGCGCAGCTGAGTGCTCCAGGGTCCTGCACACTCCTCAGGAGCCTCCGAGGACAGCAGTGGGCGTGTGCAGAGGTGTTTGCACAGCATTCTGCAGAGACCATTTTAGTTACTTTTCACAGACACATTATGAAGGAATTGACACAAATTCAGGCAGACAGACAGATAGTAGGCAGGTGACCTGTCATAAGCCAAAAGGAAGGCTAAGTGCACAGAGGGGACTCCTGGCTCCTCGGCCTTGTCTCCATCCAGGGCCGGACACCCCAAGTGAATGGAGGCTGGCCGTAGCCTCCACACCTGGCCCTGTTCCTGGGAGGCTCTTGCCCTTCAGCTGCTCGTCCTTCCTTAGTTTGGACATTCACACAGACTTCCTACCACACTGCCTTGTCAGGGCCTGTCACCTGCATGATGAGAGCCCTGGGGAACGAGGTGGGCAGCCATGGGGCCACTGCAAGCTGGCTGGGCTCTGCCCCGCCCTGGTGATACCACTGCAGCCTCCATCCCTTCCAGCTGCCTGCCAGGGCTCAACACTGCACACGCCTGAGCTAGCCTGACACAGGCCAGGCAGCGCTGCCAAAGCCCAGGCTAGGTGCCACGCAGTTCAACAAGCCTAAGACCAACACGGCGGTCACAACAGCATCTATAAGGGATCACTGGGACAGCACAGTCCTGCTCCAACATCACCCGCCCAGTCCCAACAGCAGCAACCAGTAAACCAATGAAGCTTCCAGAAGCACTTGGAAGCAGGGCTTGCTACAGGTCAGTGTCAAAAGTGACAATGACCTCCTGTCCCAGGAAGCAGTTCAGGCAGTGCCCTGGCTTTCCTTTGCACCTGAGGCGACCACTTCCCCTGGCCCTACACCCCTTAGAGGGTTTCGGGAGCCAGCCCCAGCACCCCAGGTCCCCTCACAGAGGAACGTGGACAGTGGCCTCTAGCTTTTCTTCAGAGAGGGAGGCCAGGCCTCCAGTTCGTGTCCACACCAGTCGCTGGCTGTCGTGATCCTGAGTGGATATCAAGAAGAGATGCCCATCAGGCCTTGGGAACAGACTTCTTCTTGTCTGTCCTTGTCACTGACTGTCTCCCTAAAATCCTGGAAGGCCACAACAGTGTTGGCTTCCAACCACCCCTGCTGCTCTCTGTGGCCCTCCCAGATAGAGGACCCACTTTGCCTGTTTTGTTGTCCTGGATCAGAAACCATAAATAGCCCCTGGGGGCATCTGTCCAAGGAAAGGCCTGCCTCCCTGGATGATGGAGCCTCCTGGGGCCTCCTGGCCTTGAAGGCCGTCCAGAGCGGCAGAGCCCTGGAGTGGGAGGTGGTTTCCTACCTGGCTGGCCTGGGAAATGCTCCCTCACCTACCTTCTAAGCAAATCAAACACAAGAAAACCAAATTCCTTTTCTTTTCCTTCCATTTCCTTTTATTTATTTTAATGGTAATATGTGAATTCAAGAAGTTCAATAACATCCAAATCTGAGCGAGGGAAGGTAGCATTTCCTCTTCTTGCCAATTCCCAGTGGTCATCACTTCTAGAAGGTCCCCTGGCCTGATCTTAAATGCAATCATACCACATACGCACACAATGTGCTTCCAGCGCCCAGGGGCCAGGGGCTGGTGCCAGTGCACAGGTCCCTGTGGGGAGGAAGGTGAGCTTCATCACTGTGGCATGCTTTCCTTAAAGAAGTCACATACCTAAAGAAGTCACTCCTGAAATCGTTGCCAAGTAGGTACAGCATGTTTGGCACCTGCTGGGGAAACGGCCTTCGCCTGCAGCGTCCTGGGGAACATTGGCCACATGGGAGCCCAGGTACATCTGCTTTTGTAATGAAATTTGAGAAAACAGATCCTTCCCAGTGTTTTCCCAGGTCATTTTAAAAACTCAGTGTCCTTGCCTCTCTTGCCCAGCTAAGCCTGGTTCAAAACAGGCCCCCAGATGGTCTCTTCTTTGTTACCTGCAAATTTCTTCAGGACATGTGGTGGGGACTTCTTGACTTCTGGCGCATATCTCATTGTAACTTCTGAAAAGGGACGCAGGGGTCAAGCGTGCCTAGAAGACAGGTTGGCTCAACACAGGTGGGCCCACAGTGTCCACACCTGAAAGGCAGGATGGCTCAGCTCAGTGGGCACTGTGGCCTCCACGGGAGACGTGCATGTGGTGCCAGGCCTCTTCCTGCCCCCCAGTGGGATGATGCTATGACCCACCTGTCTATCATGTCCTGAGGCTGTGTCCTCCAGGCGCCCCGTCTCTCCCAGTTATACTCCAAGTGGGGAACAACTTTCTGATAAAAGAAGGAATCAACCGCCTCCTTCCGTCTGCTGCTCACGACCAGTGGAGTGTGAACCAGACCCAGACGCACCCCTGCCTGCTATGCCATCACATGGAACCATGAGGTCATGTGATGTCACATAGGACTTTATTAGGCTGAGATCAGCGCGTTCAGGTGGAGTGGCCATAGAAGGACTTTATTCAGAGAGGCATGGGATGCCCACCCTGAGCTGGCTGTGCAGAGCAGTGTCAACCACTCTGATTAGCAGCCCGGGTGTGAGGCACTGCTGGACCCCGAGGCCCCGAGTGCCCCTGCGGGGCCAGATTGGCCACAGTCTCCTTGGAGAGGCCATTTTTCCTAGGCGCTACTGGAATGCAGAAGTGAACAAAAAGGTCCTTTCCTTCCAGGGAAGCGGACAGGAAGCTGTGCAGAGCAGACTGCTGCGCGAGAGAGCCAGCACGAGGCCGCAGGCACCGGGAGCAGGCAGGGAGACTGACTTTTCACAGGGAGGCAGGTGCCCCTGATGAGCCCGGAGTGCCCAAGACTGCAGGGCCAAGGTCCTGGGGAGAGGCGGGGTGCCGATTTCCTCCTACCCTCTCGGGGGACCACCAGTTCAGTGCACCCGGCTTCGCCTGCCTCTGCACTGAAGGGCAGACTACTAACTTCATGGCAGGTCCTCACACACCGTTGTCATGGAGCAGGAGCTTCCCTGCATAATTAATTCCCTCACACTGTGCAGCCGCCAGCTTTTAATTTTGTGATGTTACCACATTTGGAAGAGTTGCCACTTACATACCCCCTCTCCGTTATTAAATGTCAACCACTTTTGTTTACAAATAAAGCCACTTAATTAAATGGCACATCTAAGTCAGTGAGAAATTAAAACAGCACCGGTGCCAGCTCAGCAGAGCCCGGGTGGTCGGCATGCAGCAGGGTGCTGCGGGAAAGCTCCCTGTAGAGCTCCAGGGGCCCAGCTCCAGGGGCCCCCAGATCCGGCTCCCAGAGACGTGTCCAGCAGCATGCTGCAGTACGCATCTCCCACTGGGGGACTCCAGAAACACCCAGAAGCACCCATCTGCCTGGCGCTTTCTGACCTGGAGAGGATCAGGAAACCATCGCACAGTCCTGGCTCCTTCAGAGAAAGCGCCAGGTAATGGCCAGCCTGAGACTAGGGGGCCAACAGCCAGGCCACCGGGACAAACGCAGCCCTGGGGCCCTGACGCCACAAGAGCCAGGGGCATGCTCCGTGCCTTCAGCCCAGCTGCTCGCCCCAAACTTCCTGTGTTCGTTCAACACGTATTTTTTGAGGATTGATTTCCTCTTCTATATGACAGGGCCGTGGAAAGGGATGGAACTGGATCTAGTTATTATGGGTCGTGTCCCCCAAGAGGGTCTGTTCAGGTCCTAATTCCCAGTACCTCAGAATGTGACCTTATTTTGAAATATGGTCACTGCAAGTGTAAAATTAGATGAGGTCATACTAGAGTAGGGTGGGCCTGAATCAATGACTTGTGTCTTTCTGAAAGGGGGACATTTCAACACAGGGAGAGCACCACATGACCATGGAGGAGTGACCACCAGCCAGGAACCCTGAAGTCAGCAGCCAACACCGGCATCCTCCCTCACAGATCCTCTCCACACGTGCCCAGACCTGGACTTCGGGAACCGAAACAATAAATGGTTGTTGGCGCCCAGAGAGTGGTGCTGTGCTCAGCCGCACAGGTTTCCAGGCTGGAAAGCATGAGTCTGAGGCCCCTGGGAGGGAGCAGGAAGCCCTGGCCACCAGCCCTCTGCTGGGGAGAACACACAGGCCCTGCCAGGGAGGCCAGAGCTCAGCCCTGGGGCTGCAAGGGTAGCCATTCAGCTGGGAGGTATCTGAGAGGAGGGTGGGCCTTGGACCAGGCACCACCTCCCACCCCACCCCCGCCAGGCGGCCTAATGAGGACAGGGAGGCCTGTGCTGCAGCCATGGCAGGCAGGGAAGCCACAGTGCACCGACCTTCCCACTGTCCCAGGGCGACCCTGGTGTGACAGCCTCGTGCAGTCTGTGAATCGGGCCAGCCAGGGAAAGCTTCCCACTCTGCTGTTCCTGCTGAGCTTCCTACACGCTGGACATGTTTCATTTTTACACAAACTGCAGAAATTATTTTCAAGATCTAGAAAAGGGGAGGGAAAAAGTAGAGGGTTTTATCAGCACGTCATGGAATCCATGAAACAACTGGGACAACTGAGACCTTTATCCCTTTACCCGTCCCGCCTCTGTGCGCGAATACACCCATTCCTTTAGGTGTGCGGTTTCTTTCAGTGATGTTTTGTAGTTCTCTACATTAAGGGCCTACATGCTTTCCATTTTATTCATTCCTATTTGATTTTTTTTTGTTATTGAGAGATCACATTCCATTTGTTCCTGATTTATAGAAAATCACTTTCCGTATAGATCTTGTAACGGAACACCACTAATTCTGTTCAGTTGTAGATGCTCCTTTGCATTTTCCACACAGAATTGTGTAACAGAAAACAACTTCAGTTTCCTCTTCAGCTGTTGCACCCCTTCTTCCTTCCTGCCTCGTGACACTCGCGCTGGGGTGAATGGCCATCCTCACCCCTCCTCGGGCGGAGACCAGCATTTGCCTTTAATGTGACACTTGTATGCTGACGGGCTTTGCGTGTTCTCAGACTAAGGAGACCTTTGTTCCCAGTTTGCTCTTACTTTCACCCCCACAAACAGATGCTTAATTTCACCAAATGTATTTTCTGAATCTAATCATACAATCACAGCCTTTTTGATTTTGAAAACGTGGTACTTAATTATTTTCTCTTAAGTCAACTCGGGGTCCTTGAAATCAATCCACTTTGGTTATCTTCTTCATATGCTGAAAGGTTCAATTTGACATTTTATTTAGCATTTTTCTGCATCTGTTTTTCATGATTGGCCCTGCTCTATTTGGCATTGTTCTGTCCTGGTCATGTGGGTATTGCACGGTGAATTTCATGAATCTGCAGTGTCAACTCCACTTCTGTCCTCGGGAGTGGGTCTTCTTGCGTGTGCTCCAGTCCACAGCCAGGAACGGCATTTTCACAGGGCCATTTCCTTCACAGTGAAGACTGCTATTTTCTGCTGTTCTCCTCATGGGAGTTTTCAGGCACTTTTCCAGAAATGGGCCCACCTCACCTTCCCGTGCAGGTTCAGTGCATAAGGACCCGAGTCTCCTTGGGCTGCGTTTTCATGTCTGAAGCATGTGTGGCTAAGGCTGGCTCTTCTTTCTGACAAGTTAGGTGTGACCTGCCTTCCTTGCCTGCCTCACCAGCAGTTCATCACTATCGACAAAGAACAAGTTCTATCTGTATGAACCCGTGTCGCCCCCCTCAGTGCGTGCTGACCACTCACCTGCCATCCATTTCCAGGGGGGTCCTCTTAAAGAACCTCCTATGAATGGGGCTGCCTCCTGTGACTCATCAGCCCAGCCCGGAGGTGCCCGCCAGCTGGGAACAGGGCCGCCTACTGACCCCAGATGACTGTGGGCTCCTCCTGGGTTCACGCTCAAGCATGTCATGAACTGGCCTCCATGTGGGCATCCATGGACAGCTACCTTTGTAACATCAAGGGCAGGACACTAGACAGGCATGTAATGTGCGGGTTTCTTCTGAACTGCCAGTGATGTGCTTCGTGTATATATTGATTGGGGAAGAGAGGCGTTTCCACAGGACTGAGTACACTACTGAGATCCATGGTGTACGTCTACACTGAGTGCTTTCTTAGCTCAGTGATGGTCCAGTTTTTAGTATATGCCTTTAATCTCTTATCAAATTCATCCTGAATCCACTCATGTCTTGATGCTATTAAAATGCTAATTTTAAGATATCAATGTCCAGCTATTCACTGCTCACAGATGGTCTTACTCATCGACCTTGTGTGTGGTTTCCCAAGGCTGCTGGGGTACACCACCTCAAACCCAGGGTTTTCAATCATGCCTGCTCATCTTCCAGTTCTGGAGGCCAGCCCCAACACCAGATGTCCACAGAGCCACACTACTCCCTGTAGCCCAGAGCAAACCACTCCTCACCCCTCCAACTGCCATAGCCCACCTGCATTCACCATCTTGGGGCCCCTTCCTCATGTCAATCAACCTGTTCCCATCACCACATCCCCACCTGTGACTCTGACCAACCCTGGTGCTTCTGTAGCCCAGGGCCACTGCCTCGCACCCAGGTCCTTGCTCACAACATTAGCAAGACCCCTCTTGTCCTACAAAGTGACTACAGGTTCTGGGGATGGGGACTGACATCTTTGGATGTCAAAGGTCAGCTCAGCATGTGGGGTCAGACCTGACACTTGCACCAGGGCTGGGCAGTGGCAGGAGCAGCCTGAAGGCAAGGCTGACCTCTCAAGAGAAGAGCGTCACCAGCATTCCTCCAGGGGCAGGTGCTGGTGGCTGCAGGAGGAGAGGAAATGGTCGAGAACCAGAAGATGCCAGCAGTGATCTGTGCTGGGAAAGAGGGACAGGTTTGGGGCGGGACATCTGGACATTAAAGCCACTCCGTAAGAGTGCCTTGAAAGACAAAAGTGCAGTTCTCTCTGTCACAGAAAGGATGCCAGGACCCTGCACCTGGGGACCACAAGGCTATGGGTGGTGGCCTCCACTGCAACTCCTGGATCAGGGCCCTCAGGCCTGTGGCCAAGTTGTGACTGCAGTGTTGTCTTCACTGGTCCTCCTGGGATGCGCAGGGCCACACTGTGTGGGATACAGGATCTGGGAGAGTGACCGTCACTCCATTTTCTGCATTTCACATGAGCTTGACACTTTATATGATAAAACGTTAAGGAAGAGAAGAAAAGGGCAGCAGCAAAGGAAGGTGGGCTAAGAGGCTCGTGTTGAGGAGTGGGGGCCACAATCAGCAGGTGCAAGTGGCCTGGGGGCAAGAACAGTCCGGCTCCTCTCCTGGGCTTCCATCTTCCTCGTGACTGTTGGAAACACGCGGGGGGAGGTTACAGTGAAGGACTTTAAAAGCCATTGTGGAGACTTGGGGGCCAAACTAATTGATCCAAAGAGCTGTGGGGTCGTGTCCTCTCCTCCTGTACTCAGAAACCACAGGCCCTATTGAGATGAGCTGGGAATGGAGGACATACTTCCCAAGGCACCTGTGATTAGAGTAGCCTGGAGAAGCTGCAGACCTGCCCGGGGCATCATCTCTGAATACCCGCTCCCCAGGGCGTCATCCCGAAACATCCTCTTAGAACCAGGCAAGTTCCACCCAAATTAAACAGGTCCAGAACGGCCAGTCAGGGCCACACTCAGCTGCACAGCTATGCCCAGGATGCCCACAGCACTTGCAACAGCGCCTGCCTCTCCCACGTCTCTTCAGAGGTGACTAAAGCAAGCTGCAGTGTGGCCAGCCAAGGGGTTTTGTCAAAACCAATGGTATGGTCTGTACCTGCCCACGTGGAAAGGGATCTTAAGAGGCCAACAGAAGCAAGCTGGGGAAGAGAATACTCCACACCACCTTGTTGTAGGAAAAGTCGCACACAGAATGCCACCTGCTGGCCTTTGCTCAAGTGAGGACACAACACTGGCCTGGCCTGTGACTGTGCAAGGTGGAGGCCCGGTGTGTTCTTACTGTTCCTATATGTGGCTTATATTTTCCTCATAAGCAGGTATTTTTATAATTTTAAAAAATTACAAAGGCCTAAACCCATCTAGTAAGAATGATTCAGACAGGAGACATTTGATGTGCACACGTGTCACCATGACAACCAACAGAGGTGGTTCCAGGATGCCTACTCCCTCTAGTCTGGGGCTCTAGCCCGGCTTCACTCCTGTGCTTGCAGCATGCTGGCTGGCTGAGATGCCAGCCACAGTGCTGACCCACCGAGCCAGGCCCTGCACCGCCGGATGCAACTGCCTTTCCACACTGACATCTTCAGCACCGCCCTGTCCAGACAAGCACACCCTGGCTTGGAGCTTGGACCGCAGTGCTGCACAGTGCTGGAGCGCAACGGGGCTCCGTCTGCCCAACCTGGGCTCTCAACATGCTGAGCGGCCTCGGAGCCTAAGGAATTCATCATACCGTCTTCAACTCTGCAGGCTTGCCTTCTGGATGACCAGGGAGCCAGGTGCCAGAGCACAGGCAGGGGGAGGTACAGCAACGTCCAGAGAGACCTGTTGCTGGTGGCACGCACACACCTCTTGCCATCCTGAAGTCTAACATTAGGAATTCAAAGTAACAGTTCCAAGTTACCTAACACGTTCTTTTAAGTCAACGTCAGACACCAGGCAATCAGCTCCGTCACCAGGCTCAGGGCCAAGTTTCCGAGGTGATCCACCACTGCAGTTAGATCTAGAATGTCCCCAAAGGCCCTGTGCAGAAGGCATTACCAGGAGGTGGTGGGACTTTAGAAGGTGGGTCCTGGTGGGAAGAAGTTAGGTCACTGTAGATGGGCCCTCAAAGGGGACACTGGGGCCCCGGCCCCTCCCTTGCCTCCCAGCCTTCTCCATCACGCATTCCCCACCGGGACGCACTGTGCCTCTCCTCCTTTTGAGTATCTCGAGTATACTGTCACAGTAAGGGAGGGCCAACTCACACAGCCACCAAACGATCCATCAGTAGTGAGCCACTGTAACCCGTGGCTTATTCTCCCCCTATTCACTGGAGGAAGCAGGCCTCTCCCAGGGAGCACTGGACACCCCTGAGGACACTGCAGGTGGCACTGTAACAGACAAGCACAAGCAAATTTTTTCTCTTACAGCAATTCCTAGGGAACCCCACGGACACCTTTAAACATGTTCCCGTTTATTCGACTCCATAAAAGGGCACGGGGAGCATCTTCTACCAAGGAGGACACTCTTCTGGTACAGCGGACGGGGTGGAGGCCTTGCCCCATGGTGTGAGCATCACTCTAGTTTTCTTTCCTTAAAACATTACTTTCCTAATCCTATTATCTTTAGCTAACCTTGGCTTGATTTTAAAGGCCAATATGACGTTTTTTAGAACAAAAACACACTGGAGTTTTAAAATCTAAAAAGCCAAAAGAAAGACGCACACAGTAAATGCATCAAATAAAATAAAGTGACACATTTTGTGAAGTAAGAAAAATAATCCGTTTAATAATTACAACAATGCAGCACAAACGTCCCAGTAGTCAACAGCAGGACACCGTTTGTGATGCTGCAGGACTCCTGCGGTTGTCAGTGTGCCCTGGGTGGTTTGCATGATGGAGGCACGCATGGACCACGCAGGTGTTCAAGGTACCAGTGCCCAGTGCACGCAGACAGCAGACGTGCCCAGGCACACGGAGTTTCAGATACGACACCTCACGGTCATCTGAGCTGAAAGTGCTTCTCATCTACAGGACAGGAGAGGCTTCGTCTCCTCACCCCTCACAGACGAGCGTGAAGGAGTCAGCAGCCCCAGAGAGCGGTACCCCTTTGTCATTCACATCAGAACCCACCCTCCTCCAGGTCACACAGGGAATGGTACAGTGATGCACGACAGGGCAGGTTTCAGAAAGATTGCTCTCAGACGCAAGTTCTCTGCTCCCTGGAAAGCCTGGGAAGACGCTGCGTCCACATAAAAGGCAGGGATGTGGAGACACTGCCTCGGTGGCACCCAGCCTGGGACAGGGTGTTAAAAACATGAGAATTCTCACAAAATACTTCAAGCTGAGTATTAAGGCAGGTCTGTAAAAGCATCCCGGGACACAGGCGGCCCATGAGCAGCCATCCCGGGACACAGGACGGCCTTCAGTTAATTCCCAGCAGAGTGGCATCGCAACGTCTCGGGTTGCCACGGCAGAGAAATCGAGGAGAGTTGTTCCTGAGTTAAAATCTGCTACGACAGCAAATGCACTCACCAAAAACACTTGTAAAAACAGGGCTTATGAAAAACAAAACTGATCTTTTCTTTCTCAGCACGGATGGATAAAATGCCAAGTCCTGGAAGTTGGCAATTCTAGCGAGCAGCTCATAGTGAGTGGTCCACGGGAGGCGGCTCGGTGTCCAGGTCTGTGCAGGGCGCCGGCAGGGGCAGTGGGCAAGAAAAGGAAGCCCGCCAGCTCAAAGGTGCCTGGCACCAAGCATCCAAAGGCAGGGGATCTGCTGCAGTTACAGGGCAGCCCGGCCACCAGAACATAATCAGTCACGCGTGATGCAAACAGGCTGCTGGTGGGGTATGTGACGTGTGTGATGCTACAACTGTGGTTTGGGCGTGGGGCGCATGCCTGTAATCCCAGAGACTGGGGAGGCTGAGGCAGCAGGGTCACAAGTTCCAGGCCAGCCTGGGTAACTTTGTGAGACCCTGTCTCAAAATGAAAGGGCTGGGGTGATAGAGCTCAGCGGTAGAACACTTGCCTAGCATGCACAAGGCTCTGGGGTCAGTCCCCAGCACCACCAAAAAAATAAAAAATAAAATAAAAATGATATAACACTTTCTATGTTAGAGTTTACCTCACTTCAAAACTGACTCAGAGGAAGCAAAAAGACAGCTCAGTTTCTATGGTCATTGTCACTTACTGCTGGGTCATTCATTCTCCCAATTCTGCAGGGCCCAGGGAGGCAGCCTGCTGGGTGAGAACAGGCCTCCTCCCTGGTCTCCTGCAGGCGGGCTCCTGTCCTTCCTGTTGCCAGCAGCTTGGGCATTTCCAGCGAGCACTGCTCATACAGGCAGACCAATAGTGAAGGGTATCTCAGGGTGAGGCTGGCCTACGGTGAAGCCTGCCCTGAATGTGAGTCTCCAGCAGGCTCCACCTGTGTCCACTGGCTGCAGCAACTGGCGATCTAGAGCACATGCTTGGGAAGTTCTAGTTCCGTCTCTCAGGGGAGAACGGGATGGCGCCCCTGTCACATCTCCGAACAAGCCTAAGAAAAGTCTGAGCTGCCTCCCAAATGCCGGAGCACACTCCCGTGATTCCAGGATCTGGAGAGATGGCAAGGGCGAACATCCACATGAGGACAGGGATGTGGATACCCAGGTTAGGGCTGGTCTCATTCTGCTGAGTGCTGCCCTCCACAGGGCCACCAGCTAAGGCTGGAATCCGGCTTGAGGGGAGACATCTGACTGGCGTGGAGTCCCCTTACAGACACAAAGAGCGTTAATCTGCCCAACACACTGAGGTGGGACATCTGCTTGAAGAGCCATGGGGACAAGGCTGGCGCAGGATAATCCAACACCTGCCAAAGGTGTCTCCCCACACTTCTGCTGTTAAGCGAGTGTGATGGGACCTCTAACCCCACGACCAGAAAGGTCAGAGGGAAACAAGTCCTGGCAGAAGGGCGAGCCCAGATACCGTCACAAATGTGCATTCGATGTGGACTATTTACAAAAAGTACATGAACGTGATATTTATGTATCAACTACAAGTCTGAAGAGCCAGGGCTTCAGTCTGTCACCGCACTCACTGCAAAATGAGGTAACTGAGATGTTAGCAGAGGTTAATGCAGCCTGGGTCCTCAGTGTCTATGCATGTGTGGATTCTTCAGTGACAATTGATCATTTCTATTCATATGATGAAGACAATGTCCTCAGTCCTGAATGTCATCCAAGCTGGGGCCGGGGACCTGGTTTGGCCTGGTAACTGGTCTTCAACAAGAAATAAGGTCGTCCTTTATAGATTGGTCTCATCCCAGGCAGGATCATTCATGTTCTTTAGCACCTTCCTCACCAGCTTTTCCAGGTCCTTGCGGGCCCTCTGTTCCTCCTCTAAAGACTTCTTCATCTTTTTGTTATCCTGCAAGTCAAGCAGACCACAGCATGTTCACTACCCGTGGCACCCAGCAGAGCCTCTTTCCCCTAAATTACACCCTTGGGGTGACTGTAGTAGGGTGGGCGTTAGCAAAGCCGAAAGGTCTAAGCACGCACTGCAGTGTGGTGCTCAGTGGAGTCCCTCCTGGGAGCCAGACGGTTCACAGCGGAAGGAACAGCCCCAGTGGCCCTTCCCGTAAGTGCCTAGTGACCGCCTTGATGAAGCATACCATAGAAAATGGCTGAAAACAGCAGCGGAGCAACTACATCCTTGCCTTTCTTGCAGAATCAAAGGAATGGAAGCAACAGAAACTCTGTGAACCAGAGTGAATGCTCGGGTATGCTTAGCCTGGACTGGAAAACTTATCACACAGGGCAGGGGAGCCCTGGGGGCTCTTGGGAGCTGCAAAGGCACATCTAGCCAGCAAGGCATATCCAGCCACACCACACCCCGGGGCACAGTGCCGTCTCCAGCGCTTGTCCACCTCCCTGCAAACCAGCCCTGGCCTGTGCACACAGGTCCACCCGCTGACCAGCCCAGCATCGCTGACTTCTGAAGCGCACGGCCGCCTATGAGAGCCCGTCACACAGGCACCAACAGAACTTGTAACCAGGCAGTTTTCAGACTGTGTGACTATTCCAACAAAATCTGACATGGTTTATGACATCAAAAACAGGACAGTTGGATGAGTCTTTTGAAGCACACTTCCTGGTCTATCCCATTCACAGAGGACCAATGGCTTTCGTGCTGGAATTCCACAGTACAAGATCTTTTAGTTTTTTTCTTTCTTTCACTTATGGACAATCACCATTTTTGATAGTGTTTTCCTTTTTTCTCCCTTAAAAAAAGTAAAACAAATGCTGACTCACCTGCCGTAGCTCCTGGACTTCATCCTTCAGCGCATACACTGTGTCCACCAGACTCCTGGAACAGAAGAGCATGCAAGTCAATGGGCAGCACTGAGCGCCAACGGAGCCACAGGGCTCTCCCGGCTCGGCCTATCTGGTCTCATAACTTTAACCACCCAGCCCATTCTGCGCTCAGCAGGTTGATCTCTGCTGAGGTTAAGTCCAGCCCACAAGGAAAGTCTGTGGTCAAGTTCTGGGCCCCAGCCCCAGGGGAGTTCTGACTCCATTACCCACTCCACACACTGGAGACTCTTACTTTTCCTCCATCACTGTCTGACCGTTACTTTTAGTTTCTTCAACTATTATTTTCTCTTCTTCTGGAAGCAAGACTTGTGGAGCAGATCCTTTGCGTGAACCTAGGATTGTTCAAGGAAAAAAAAAAACCTCAGGTGAATGCCATGGCAGACCTAAGAAAGGGCTCAACTACACACCCTCTACACGCTCCCACAAAGAATGCCCCAACCCCACAAGGAGGGCGCCCCCACACTCCCCTCCACCTCTGTCCACGGCGCAGGCTCTTCATGCCCACGGCATTGCAGAGGGAAACACCAACCTTTCTGTAATGTATTCAACTTTGTTTCTTAATCTAGATTATAATCTTTAAACATAAAAATTTTCAATAGCAAGTAAGTTAAAAGGTTCTGACCACATTGCCCTAGATATTTAGCCAAATTTTAAGTCATTAAATTGTCGCAGAAATTCTAGAAAGACACACAAGATCATATACAGCATATATACTAAGTGTTTATAAATATAAAAACTGGCAATTTAAACAAGTTTAACACCATAACAACTTCTAAAAATAAAGATATGACAGCACATAATTTAGAAAAAAATAAAATTCATTATCTGGTTATTTTATAAAAACTTCATTCTCCATTCCCTGGAACTAAATAAAAGAAAGTCAAGTGTTCATAATGTCAGAGGAACGTTTATGCCATTCAACCAACACAAGCACAGGAGCCTACAAGGGACAGCCCCAAGATGAATGAGGCGAGGGAGGCACTCAGAAACCAACTCTGAGGCCCAAGTACTCTTTTTCAAAAGGTGAGGGAAGAGAACCACATCCCGTGATGTGAGAAAGAGAATATTTTCTCAAAGATCACACCGTGTGGAAGCATGCACCACTCATATTTTTGGAAAACTACACCAATACACATGGGAGGAAGGTACGATGTACCACAAACACCTGCAGTGGTTCTAGGGGAAGGGGACATTCTCTTGGAAAAGTACACCTGCCCTCTGAGGCAAGCTGACCGGGAAAGGCAGGGTTTCTGAAGCTGCTGTCCCCTGAAAGTCTGTCAGGTTGCAAGAAGCACACCTGTTGAGCACCCCTGTCCCCATGGAAACCGGAGGGCGGTACAAGTGTTTTAAAGGCAGAATTGCAAAGATAGCTTCCACAGCACCATACTATACAGAAGCAAGATGTACAGCTGCTGCCAAGAGGGACCAGCATCCCTGACAGGCAAGCAGGGCTGGCCCTTCCGCAATGGCAGTTCAGAGACACTGCAGCCTAGGGGAACAAGGCCTCAGGAAAGTCTCCCTGGACTGCCCTCTGGGCACCCGCAAAACCCACTCTATCAGAGGGCACCAGGCACAAGCCCCGTGCCAGACCAGAAGGGCAGAGACTGGATCACACCAGGGCGCTGTGTCCACCCTCAGTAAGCTGAGGGCAGAAGAGCACACTCTGGGTAAGCAGCCACGCACAATTCTGCATTACACAGTGTGAGCTCCATGTCAGTCACTTCTGACACCCCTGAGAGGAGAGGCTTCTCTGTGCACTGAGATCAAGCACAGTGCTGAGAATTCTGTCCAAGCCACGTGAGCAGGCATGCTGAGTATTCACCAGGAAATGTCTAGACTATTCCAAGAAAGTCTCCCCATGCAAAGATGCCCTGTTCACAGTGGTGGGCAGGGGCTGCAGCTACCACCCTTTCCACAGTGACCCAGATCCCAGGGAGACTGAACTTCAGATGCAGTCCTGCAGAGAAACACATTGTTAAAGCATCACCAGGCCGACCACGTCAGCCCCCAGAGATCTCTAACAGGTCCAGCAGACAGGCAGAGACCCCCTCTAGGTGACAAGAGACCATGAGAGACCTCCCGGGACTGCAGGCTGCTTCCTTCTAGGCCTTTCCTGTTAGTGGGGAATGCCGCGGGCCACGCAGACCACAAGAGAACTACAGGGAAAGCACAGGTACCAGCCAGATGAAAAGTCTCCTGTGCCTCTTATCCAAACTTCTGTTACCTGTCTTTCGAAGGAAAAGTTAATTCATGTGATATCTGCCCAACAAAACACAGAAGGATTCCAAAGAATCAGATATTTATACCCTAGTGTAGACAACAAAGGTCTCCACTTAATCTTCCCTGTGAAGACAAGTAAGCTGGTCACAGTACACAATTCAGTAGATCCTGAGTTTCCTAAAGTTATCAAGTCCCCAAGAGCCCTACTTTGGGTCCAGATGACTGATGACTACCTCAGAGTCAAGAGACATCAGTGGGGAATGAGTCCTGTTCAACTTGCAATACACATCTTCAAAAGGACCATGGAGAAAGAGGAGGTGGAGAGGTTCTAGGTAAATACACTCACGCAGATTAAATTCTACCAGTACCATGAGTACACTGCTTACAAACAAGTAAGATAAAGTCACAAAGGACACCACTCTGCGAGAAAGGAGGTGCTATGAGATGCGAGGGCCACGTGCCCCAGGTGACTCTGGTTAGGAGTCTCAGCTCATTACCATCTCTACATTAAACACTGAGGATTAAACACTGTTTTACAACTATTTCTTACCAAACAAATTCATGGATAAACGCCTCAAGTTTCTAAGTAACATAATTAATCTGAGGACCTCAAACCCATGAGGACCAGTAAATGGCTGTATATGCATGACTCCGATCTCACTTTTGCAAATACGTTAAATGGCTACAGTAAGTATGACAATAAATATTACAGACAGAATGTACTAACTAACTGCTCTGTTCCTGAAACACTGCAACATGGATAATGCTGCTGATCAATCTAAGGTGAGCCAAGAGGCTTATAAATCAAGGTCAGAAGTTTGCCGAGGAGTTCAGGCAATGCCAATCATCTGTCCAGTTTCAGTATAACATATTTTTTATAAAATAACAAAAAAAAATCTTTCAACAAAACAATAAAGAAATATTTTCTAACCAGGTTTGTAAATAAGTTGGATAATCTCAGATATTATTAAAGTATTCTTAGAGGGACTGTGGCACAATTTTCCTGAATTACCTAGGCTAGGTAAAACACTTAACAGCACAACAAGCAAAGAATGGTCTAGCATTTCATTTAAAACCCCACAACTGGGCTTCAGACACATGCCCAGGTTTTGGGTGGCTCCAGGACAGGGAGAGCTGAGCTTCTCTTTGTGGAGCTGGGAACAGTATGAGAGGCTCAAGAAACACCATGTTCTGCAGCCGCTGCCTGGAGATTCACCGCGCCCTGCACAGCATTATAGGTTTGCTGAGGTTTGCCACAGCACTCCGCTCCTGGGACGTCAGGAACTCATCTGAGTGCTCAACATTTTTTTCAGCATCCACATTAGCATCTTGGGTTTTCTGGGTAACAGTCTGAGCAGTACTAACTAGCCTACAGACCTAAGTCTGAAAAGACACACAACTGCTGATTTGTCCCTGGACTTACTGTTTCTGTATGGAGGCGGGAATAAGAAAAACGTAACACAACAAAACAATACTCTGTACTACCAATCCCGCGCTTCCTCATACTGAAGGACTCTAATGTGCCTGCAGGTGCACAGTGTCCACCCTTCAAGGCCTGCTGGGACAGTCCACATGGTCACTTTAGGAGCACTAGTGCCACATGGCAGAGACATGAGTAGCCCCTGGGTCCCCATGGCAGCATCCATTCCATACAAGGTGTGATCCTGTGGGAACACATCATTAGCCACATCTCAGAACCTTCCCCCAGGTCCCAAGGACTATGGACCTTAATGTGAGAAACAGATCTCATCTAGCAATTCCACCTTATGGATGAGGTGACATGCTCAGGCTGTAGCAGAGCAGGGATCACCTGGGACTCCACGACCTGTCTGTGCTGTCGTCCTGGCTGCTGGAACACCATGGGGGGGGGGGCGGGAGCACACACTGATGACACACAACCACAGAGCCTTAAGGTCAAGTCCACGGCAGGTGTGACATGTGTGTAGGCTGAGCCTGTCAGCAGAATGGCTGCCTATGGGCCAGTGGTCAGTCCGTCCGTCCATCTGGTTCTTTCCCTCTTAGGCCTGTGACCTTCCTAGTCTGCACCAACTACATCAACTAAGGAGGCGACTTTGGAAGGGACCAAGCATTCCACTTAGAAACCTACTTGGCAGACTCTCCAAGTCCACGCAGGCCATGCTGTTCCACGGCTCTGAGGCTGGAGCCCGCTTTTCCTTCCTAGGGAAAGAAGGCGGGCCTCTTCCCTGAGAGCTCTCCATCCACACCTCAGCCTAGCCCTGCACTGCACCAGCGACTTCTTCCTTCCTTTTACTCTGCTTGCTTTCCTCTTCTGAGTCATGGGCATGCACTTTGTAAAACAAAAGGAAAATGCTGACTTTAGTTTAAATTTGAAAAATTTAAAAGTTGTGCTTTTTTCCATTTGTGCCCCCAAACCAATAATGATTCTTTTTTGAAGACAGACCTTCCAGTGATTAAAAATTTGTTTTTAAAAAAGAAAGGGATATAAAACAAAAGAATGGGCCAGGAGTGCCCTTGTATTATCTAGCACACAGCCAGCCTAAGAAAGCCCCAGCTCCTTTTCGGAGGCAGACACTCCAGGCCCACGGCCTGGCCTGCCTTGGAGACACTGTGGTGGGGAGAAAAGTCCTGCTGTGTCAACGGCAAACTGTGCTCTCCCCCTCCCCCACGGAACAAATATTAAAAGCCACGGGCTAGCAAATGCAAAATTTATTTCAACTGTACATAACATGTCTTTTTTTATATAAAACAAACACTTCATTGCCATATGCAACCACAAACAATAATATGCATACTGTACAATACAATGCAACATTCAGATATACATCCAAGTGAATTTTCAAATGGCAGTCATGTACTAAAAATGGCTTTTCCCATTCACAGATAAAGAGCACAATATATAGCTTTTGTCCAAGATCTTATACCACTATATACACATTACTGTGTTTTGGCAATTTTAGGCAAAACACAAAATTAGATAGCGAATTAAATACTTCTGGCGCATGTTAGTTCAATGGGAACATCTGTAGAAGGTCTGACGCTGGCCTAGACCTGCCTCCTAGCCGAACCTTCAACCTTCTGTCATGAAGTCAACCATATCAGAAGGCAGGCTTGCAGAAGCCTGAGGTTCGAGTATGAGCACGAATGACATCCCACGGAAGTACACAGGCTGGCCTTTGGATGTCTGTCACCTGCTACACGAAGACCATCTTCCAGGCCTGTGCACTAACACTTCTAACCAGGTCAAAAAAGCCAATGGTGTCAGATTTTGAAATGAATTCAAATAAAGAAAAAGCCAGACTATTATTCTGTAGTGATCTCATCATCAACAAAAATCATCAAGTGGCTTTCACTGATACAAAAAGAAATGATGGCAAAGCATCAGAACTTTGGTGCAGAGAAACTGATGACAACCAAATGAGACTTGGGCTGAAGGAAGTCCAAGTGCGGCGGCTGCACCTCACTGTGGTCTCGCAGCACTAACTGGCAACCGCACCAACGAAGGTGCAGCCAAGGCATCGAAGCTGCCGCGTTAGTTATTACAGTCCCAAAGCAGGTATTCTGTGAATTCCAAAAAAGAGCATTACTCTGTGTGATATAAAAACGAAATTGCTTCTAAATCCATTGCATGATATTAGGTAAGTATAAAACCTTTGTCAAAAATCTCCACTTGCTATGTGAATACACGCAAACCTCATCTCTACTATAGATTAATACTGGGTGCTAATTTCAGAAGACTGCTCCTCAACTTTCTTATTTTACTAATTGATATAAAAATATGAAATCTCCAGTTGGTGCGAAAAGCTCTGTGGCTGTGGGAACACACTGGTGCCCCAGGGCCCTGTGCCTCGCCTCACTCCGGCAGACATGGCACCCAGCTTGCTGAGCAGCACGCCCCACCAGGAGTTCACTAGCACCGCTGGCAGGCAAGCAGCAGGGCCCAGTTCCCAGGCTCGGCACTGTGTCAGAGCGTACAATGCACAACACTGAGCACGCGGGCTGGCGAGGGGTGGTGGAGAGACGCCACGGCCACCCGGAACTCCAGCGCCCTAGAAAGGAAATAATGTTATTTCCGATTCACCATGGCATCCTGTCTCTGAAGCTGGTTCCAATGGACACGTAAAATACAACCAAGAGGTTCCATTTTAACACCAAACAGCGTGTGAGGGAGAAGACGGTTCTGCCCCCAAAGCCATGATCAGGCGTGGGCGTGCTGCTGCAACTGAATGCAACACACCACATTCAGTCTTTCTCAAGCGACATCAGCCCAAGGGAGGCCAGTGAAAACTCCTTACAACCAATCCCAGGAAGGCAGGGTGGTTTTCTCCAAGGGACATGGCAGCCTTGTGCCTTCCCCAACCCACACAGTGAGGCGTCAGGCTAATTCTGCAGGGCTGTGAATGGAGTTTCACTGTAGGTGGCTGCTGGAAGCAAGGGTGTGCTTGCGGCTCTCACATACAGCGCAGCGTGGATGTCAGGGGCAGCCGCCGTGATGGAAGCCAAGTGTACAACCCTGCACGCTCTGAGCACAGCCTACACTGCAGGGGCGAGATGCTTCCGACTTTGGACCTAAAGTTGTAGTGCTGGGGCTCTGAATAGAGCGGCTCAGCGTTTCAGTGCCATGGCTGCAGTTCCAACAAGGCAGGTGATGTGCTGTAATGATCAGTGACTGCATTGCAACCGTGAGCTCGCCTTTGGAAAGAGGAGCTCCCCACAAACGCCACATGCAGGACACATGAGGGCACAGAGCTAGGGGGGTCAAGACAGCTCTGAAAAATGCAACACCCGCCCTTCTGTGTACCTGCCAGGACCAGAGCCACACAGAACTGCACGGCAGCATGACGCGCATCACTCGCACTCGGAGCCTCATTACAGATGCTCCTCCCAGTGCCTTGCCACAGCTACTTGGTCAAATGTTACACATAAAAAAACCTAAGATCCTACATAAGGCCAGAGTCTCCTCTGTGTTGCTGGCACTTAAGATCGCAAAACTGTGTGGTTCTGGTATAAAATACAAAAGTGTCCATACAGCTGTATCCAAAAAGAAACGAAACAGTTGCTACACAGAAGGAGAAAAAAAAAAAAAAAAACATTTTGAGTTTGTATAAAACAACGCTCCATTAGGAAAAGCACCCTTGGTACAGGCTCATGTGAACCCACCACCTTCCTCAACAGGCAGCAGTTTGAATGCATACTCAGATTGGCAATTAAGCCTCCACGAGGTACAATGGAAAATACCAGGAACACTCTCAAAAGTTGTTAAAATATCACATAAAAGAGACAAGGAACAGCAAGAAACATCTAAGAAAAGCAGGCTGCGATACAACAAGCATTGGTTAAGAAAAGCTCAGAAGTGCATTAGTTCTGGTGAGAGATATATGAGCAACAGCTCTTACGAGATGCAGAACCCATTCTGTAACTATGGGCTGTCCATATACTGTCATACTCAGAGTCTTCCGAGAGGTCTGAGGGCTCCAAACGAGAAAGGCTACTGCGACGACCCAAGGAGTCTAGACTTGATTGGTCGTCATCAGCCAAGACGTGATTATGCATCAGGTCAGTGCCTTGCCATGCTAAGACGGGGGGGTGGAGTGACAGGTGCGACAGGCAGAGGTGGGATGAGGAGGACGGACAGGAAGAGCCACAACCAAAACATGAAACAAAAGCAAAAGGTGATGGGAAGAGAAGGAAAAGAGAAAATATTGTTAAAAAAATGGCAACAATGCTTATTTCTCCTTATTTATGGCTGGGTTTTAAATAATGAACTTATTAATTATTAGCACAACCCTCAGAACAACACTAGATCAGTTGTTTTAATAAACCTATATCCAATATTATCTCTAATTGCTCTTTTTTTAAGATAAAGCACTCACCTAAAAAATTTTCTACAGATTTGCCCATATCCAAATGATGATTCCATAAACACTTGACAATTAACTACTTCTATTAACAAATGGTCTCAGAACATTAGATATAAAAGGTACCATTTATGTAGCTGAAACTACTGCCTATTCAGTGAACAAATGCATTAAATGCAAAATAATGTCAAATATGTTTTGACTTACTTCTTGATCTCTGCAAGCTATACATCACCAGCAGGGGTCTAAACTTACCTTATCAACCTACAATCAGTGCAAAAGGTTCAGAGTGGAGAAAAGAATTTAAGAGGGTGCCTGGCCCTTCCACTACTGCTTGCAGGGCTTGCCAGAGCAGAGGTCGAGTTTATTCACAATGTTATCAACCTGGTGCAGGCCTTTCCCCACCAGGATGACAGGCATGAACAGGTGATGCTACTATGCTGAGAGGAGAATGGCAGTGGGCAGGGAACGGCTGGGATAGAGAGCAGTGAACCTGGCAGGCAGCTGGGCATGAGAGCATGCAGGGCTAAAAGGGACTCCCTCAGGGAGACAGGGCTGTGATGGGGACTGGAAGCCACAGCAGCAAGTAGCCTCTGTGCAGACTGCATGTGAACTAAGCCTCCACAGTCTGTGCAGGTCACTACTTCCTTGAGCAAAAATCAATACTCAGATCCTTGGTTTCTAAAGTCCTGTTGGTACCCAAATGCACACTGAACTGAGCTGAATTCTGGTAAAATAAACTCCTTCTAAAAGCTGTTGTTACTGCACATTAACATGCCAAAGCTGCTGCACTGTGAGCCATCTCCACTTGGTGAGGAAGGGTGCCCTCCTGCACAGACATGCATGCCTCATCACCACCTGTGCTGGCAGTGTGAGGTCGACGCCTTGGCTGATTATCCTCTCTGTCCCAGGCAGTTCTGCCTATAGTATCAACCAAAAGCAAATCAGACTACTGACCAATGCTTTCTTGAATGGGAAGAGTGGACACGCTGACATGGACATTGCACTAAGAAAGGCTCTGTGGAAGCTGCAGGTCATCCCTCTGGCATACCTGGCAGCAGCGAAGCCATAAGGTGGCCCTGTGAGGCCCACAAAGCACATACATCCCTGAGAGACTAGGACCTTCAGCTGAGACTACTAAGTGAAATTTTATTCAAGTAACTGAAATTCAGAGGACCACTTTTTAAAAATCCCAAATTTGAAATCCATAAACTTGTAAACATTTTATAGTCTAGTCTACCTAAAATACAATCACTAACAAATTATGAAAATGTAATACCTTTAATCACAATACAATGCACTTACAAATGACTGCCTAACTGCACATGTAGGTGTTCTAGTTTGCTGGAGTACCCAGGCCTTCCCACTTCTTTCCCATCCCTCGACCAGTCACTACAATAGGCACCTTCACCAGAGAGTAGACTTCACCAGAACAAGGACTGTGCTGACCACTAGAAAAAAATCTAAATGAAGACACTAGAAATGTAAAAAAGGTTCAGGCCACACACATCTACCTGGCCCCTGATGGCTAGCTTATGTTCACAGCCACAGGCACCTCTGACAAAGCTGTACCGGCTACAAAGTCCTTCTCCCCTGTTTCTGGTTTTCAGCATTAGTTTAAGTAGGACACACGCTAAGCTGAAACGCCACAACTGCAGGCATGAGAATGAAGACGGGAGAAACATGCTCTGCCAAAAGCCACGGCGGAAGAACCCAAACTCACCAAGGGGAAGCCAGCTTTTATGCCCAGGTCATATCTGAGCCACCCAGGTCTCCAAGGCCAAGAAAAGCCCCCAAAATAAGGAGCAGCAGGCCAAGAGGTCCACTGTGGTGGAGAGGGCCCCCTGGGCCATGCACTGATGCCCAGCTGCCGCCACACTGTGCTGCCCTCACTCCTGCCAGGGAGATGTAAAAAGCCACCTCCTCCCTGTTCACACCACAGACTGAGCAGTTTCTACTTAAACATCATACATAAGACATGGGTAAATTCTGTGGTGACCAATCAACCAAATTAAGGTAGTTTGTGCTTATTTCCAAATATTTATAAGAAAAAGAAAGGGAAGCTAACAGAAGCCTCACTCTAGGTTTATATTTTGGACAATAAACAACAATTCTGAAGAGCTTAAAAAAAACAAGCCCGAGTCCCTACCTTATACCAGCAATGTGAAGGGCTCAACAAGTAGCCTTCTACTATCATCTGAACACAGCGAGGTGCAGGCCTTAGGAATGCTGGCAGCGCCCTATGGAGAACACTGGCCAGAACACCATGCTGCTGCTCTGCTCAAGCTCAGATCCTGCTCACATGACTCAGGGACTCAGGGCTCCCTGTGTGTTGCTTGATCCATCTCTGAGACCTCCCTCCTTCCCTCCCTCAGAACAGCTCAGGCATGGAGCAACGTTTAGATTGTGACGAGAACACACATCCCAGCGCGCTCCTGTGAAACTTACTTGAGTTGAGGGTCTGCCGGGTCTTGGCGCTTGTACAGTAAGCCTCGATGACCTTCAGAATCTGAGCATCTTCTTCCAGAGCCGCCGTGCCTGCAGAGAGATGCAGAGGCATCACTACCAAACACACATCCCACAGCCACACTCCACAAGCTGTCGGACAGGGTGTGCTCACAGGCATCAACTCAGCTGACACCAGCAGGTGAGAAGAGCCCTCCTTTTATTTTCTTGTCAGGCAACTGTTCTCTTAATATCTACAAATATGTATATTCAAAAAGGATTTTTCAGTTTTTTTAATATTTTTATCTGTAATTTATCTAGCAAAGGGCTGCTATCCTTAGCTGTCTTGCTAAGCCATTAAAAAAAGGAGGCCCCTCCCACACAAATTAAAAAAGGATAAGAGAAAAGAGCAACTCACAAAAGCACAGTTAGTAAGGAAAGCCATTCTACCTCATCAACAAGAGCCTGGGCTCATATCCTCAAAACCAACCCGACAACACCAACACCAGCAGAGGTGGGCAGTGACCTCGGAAGGCATCTGATGCAGGCCTGCAAAGGAGCTTCCCTCTAGCACAAATTCCTACCTTAGAGGTCAATCTACAAAATTCACAAGCCAGGTCAGCACTCCTCACAGCCTCCTTGCAGAGCCCTTCCTTGAGCCAGCTCTTGGACACTGGCCCTGTCTCCACTGAGAGCAGGCACAAGAACACAGGGTTAAAGCTCAAGGCAGTGGCAGTGGGCACAGGCTCTCACATCAGCATGCACTCAAGAGGTGTTACACACATGGGCAAGCGGCTTATTTTCTTTATCTTCCTCTTTTTCTGTTTTCTTTCTTTCCTAAGATACTACTTGGGTACCTATTTTAAAAGGCTCACCTACTCTAATAGAAAATGTGGAAAGAACAGAAGCCTAAAGTATTAATAGTGGTATAACAATGAAGCCTCAATGTCATTTTGAGAGAGTAAAATTCATACCAGTATTCAAACCCAATATTCACTACTAGACAATAACTCACAATGCAAGAACTTAAGAGCTCCCAAGAAAAGGCCTAAATCTCACTAAGTGTAAGCAATCTTCCGACAGGCTCCTGTAACAACCCACTTCCTCAGAGGCAAGAAGTCCATTTCCACCGAGGGCTCCTGCAGGGAACTTCCAAAGGCAGGCTGTTCCCTGTGGTGGTGCAGGACTGTGTCTTTGTGGGGACCCTCTCAGTCCAGCTGATGTAACCAATTGCCCGTGTGAGACATGGCTGAATACAAAGAAAGGCAGAGAATGAGGCAGTAATCTGAAAACAGCTCTGACTTTCAACAAACTACCATGCTGATCTACCTTCGCCACTGCGGGCAGATGCAAGCAGCCAAGGCGGGGAATCACACACTTGCTGTGTGGTCTTAGCCGTTTCATAGACTAGAACAACGCTGGGATCCTGGATGCAATAAAGGCTGAAACAACTTATGAAATCACAGTGGCTTAAAGCAGCAAGGCTCACCTGCACCCGTGATACGTGGCACTGTCACAGAGACCACTTACACAGAATTTCCTTTAGTCCTCTGTCTCACAGGTCCTCCTGACCCTCACATGCGAGGACTGCAGGGCAGGGCACTTGGATACCCCACTGCTTCTCCTCTCCATCTGCCCAAACTTGTGCTTGAAATAACACATCTTCACCCCAGTCTGGGCCTTCCCCGGACATCGAATCATATGTTCACCACCCAGCTAATACTTGCTCCTGGGCACCTCCTGAGAGCCTCATGCTCTACATCCTCCTGGCTGCCCCAGCCCTGTGCCTGCCCTGTCCATCATGGCTCCTGTAGTGCACCCCAAGGCCACAATGCTGAAAACCACAGGCCTCACATACAAGGCCTGTGGGCCTGTACCCCCAACCACCACACTGCTTATCGGCTGCACAAGATGAATCTGTAGGATGCTGTGTCTCTACCACAGAGGACAGTAGCCCTCACCCAGCTGTAAGGACTAGAATGTCTTCAGACATTGCTTAATGTGCCCTGGGGCAAATCCCACCCAGAGAACCATTACAGGCCCTACCTTCATTCAGCACCCCCACCCAGGACATCTGCCCACATTTTACCGTCACCATCAACCTGGGCCCACTACCATCCCCTCTCACCCTCACTACCTGGCTCCACTTTTGCTTCAGCCTGCTTGCTCTCATGCAATCGGTGAGGCCTCTGGACCCTGAGGCACCCCACTGCCTGAGGCACCTCAAGGGCTCTGGCATCACTCCCCAGGCAGCCCCTCCTTGCACCTGCAGCCAGGGCTGAAGAGACTGCAATGCCTCTACTCAGATACTGCCCTTGCATGGAAGCCGTCCCACCAGCCCCAGCCAGTCTGAGCACTCCCCAGACATGCGCTGAGAGTTTGTCTTGTTTCTCCTGTCTTCTGCAAAACCTGAGCTCTAGGAGGTCAGGGATGTTTCCTTCTTTCACAGCTGTGTCTCTCATACAATCACAAAGACAGGGCTAAGTGTCTGCCAGTGACTGACGAGTGCACCTGTGTCTATGTCATGGACCCATGACATAGATGTGTGCTCCACACAGAAGGTGCTGAGCAAATACCTGTCATGAGAGGGCCACCAGACACCCCGGAGCCCAGCCTCATCTCCCCTGCACAGACAAGCAGTGGCAGCCAGGAGGACACAGTGGGCCCACGAAACCTTAGGCACACCTCACAAGGACTGCACACACTGCTCTGGTGGACTGGAACCTGTGCACCAGGGCAAGGAGCAGGCAGTACAGCCACCCACACCAGGTGACACACATGAGGACAGGGCAACCACGGTGGAGCTGCTCAAGAAGCTGCTGTCTCATTGGCTTCCCCCACATTAAAATGGCCTCACACAAAGGATGGAGAAGAAGCTACTTAGCACCTGGATCAGAGCTGCTGGGCCAAGCTGGCACCTTTCCTGGTGATGCCAACTACCCTCAAGTTCTAAGTAAAAAACCTCTCCCTTGGGCCTTCTTTTGGAAATAAACCCCTTAAGGGTCCGAATGAGTACAGTGAAAAGTGACTCCCAAGAATTGCAAGGCCTGCAGAAGACCCCTGCTGGCACCTGCTGGCTAATATGCTCTGTCCTGTAGGGAGGGACATCAGGGTGAAATGATCACACCCTGTCCCCACCAGGAGCTTTCCTTCAGCCCTGGATAGTCCCCTAGATGGCCGCATGCTTGCTGCGGCCCTCTGCAGCAGTCACTAGGCCTGATGTGCTGGGTAAGATGAGTCTGTGTGCCCTGTGGATGCTGTGTGATACCCCTGGTCTACCATTAAGGGTAGTAGCCCTTACCCAGCTGTGACAACTACAGTGTCTTCAGACACTGCTGTATGTCCCATGGGGCAAGTCTCACCCAGCATGAAGCAGCGCAGGGAAACTTCCCACTGGTTCTGCAATTGACTAACTTCATGAATCCCAAAGCTATGGCCTGAGCACCTGAGTGTGAGTTTCCCTGTGAGCACAGTGTAGGACCCAGGGTAGGGCAGAGACTGCTTCCAGCTCCCCAGAGCCTATGAAAGCTCACCTCTGAGTCCCCCAGGACTGTGATCCTGATATGTGAAGAGAACAGGCCATAGCCCTACTGGGTGGAGAGGAAACTCCAGGAATCCTAGCATGTAAGGCTTCATGGGCCAAGTGGATAAGAGCAGGTAAGGCCCCAATTACAGCACAGTCCTGCCCCAGCCTCCTAACCCATGTTTCCTGCCCATCTGCTGGTCCCACCTCGAGAAGTAGGCCCTGCTGCCTGCAGTTATGGGAAGACCATAACTGTTTCTCCAGCCGCTTTTCCACCGTGCACGCTAAGCCCCCACACCCAGTACAGGGACTCACTTTTCCGCAAGGCGAACTCCTCGTCTGAAGGCTTCCGTTCAGGTTTGCGCTTCGGCAGCAGCTTTTTCATGGTCTTGGGACTCTTACTAAGATCCTGGGGAAACACAAAGGACAGGAAACACTGACAGATGCCAAAACCTGCCGGCTCTCCTGGGTGTCAGGACAGTGCCCCAAGGCAAAGCAGCCACACATACTTCCCTCAACTCTCACGTGGCCTTTGCCAGCTGTGGAACAGTTGCAAAAGACCAACAGGTGTCTTCACTATTCACCACTGATCCCCTCAACTCCAACAGGGACCCTTGTGCTACCTGGGTATGACCAGTCCTGGGATGGCAAGTGGCAGAGGTCCCCACTGGCAGGAGAGAAAGGACAGGCGGTGGGAGCCGGGCTTGGCAACTATGGAGCAGACCTGCCTGGCACAGCTGACTAGGAAGAGGTGAGGGAACCAAGGCAAGTCAGCTCCTGCAGCAATGTGCCTGAAGCCTCCAGGGAGAGGCCACACACCCACCATTCTGGGTCCAGGCACAGGTGTGGCGCACGCACAGTCAAGTCTCACGCCTGTTTGGGAGGACCACCTGCCCTGCCCACTTGGCACATCTTCATCCTGAGGTGAAAACTAAGTGGAGGTGATGGGACAGGTGAAGTCTCAACTGCTGAGCACATGCCGGACATAGATACTAAAGAAGGCTGCCCTCCATCAGTTCGGTCCCACACTCGGGGCAGACATGCTACAGGACCCAACTCAAAGCACTAAGGGAACAGAGCCTGACTTCTGACGTTACCACTTCGAAATCTTCTCTATGTAAATGAACATGTACAAGGTCTTCTCAGTGCCCCAGGAATCAGTTTCCAAAGAACCATTTCCAATGTGGGCTCCACTGCTTCTCTGACTCAGAAGAAGTTGCCAAGACCCCTGGAGAGGTCAGTGCCCTGCCCTGCCCTGCCCAGCAGGCACCTGCACACCAGGGCTCAGGGAACAGGATCCAGAACTTCTGCCCGCACCCTGCACCCACCAGGCGGCCTGATGGGCAGCACTCCAGGGCTCCATCTTCTTTGCCAACTCTGTTCCTTGGGACGACTTCTCACTAGGGTTTTAAGGCATTGGAAATAACAAGCTATAAGCAAAGAATGAACGCACTTCTCTCTCCCGGCATCTAAAAGTAATTGGAGTGCGACGTATCACAACCAACATGCTTAAGCTTGCTTCCGTGACCCTCCCTCATCCCTTCTACTCCTTCGTCCAGCAGTCTCCAGTAATTAAACCTCCATCAGTGCTTGCCTGCATTATCTCACTTTTTCTTTATACCACAACACTAACAAAGAACATCAATATCCTTCATGCAGCTACCCACAATTTAAAACTTCTGTCTGGGGTGACTCTCAGCAAGACTCTTAATGAGTTAAGAACAACGTAAAGGCTGACTGAAATTTTGCAGATAGTACTTCTGCTTTGCTGGCATGAATGGAAGAAGGGTCTGCCCCAGCAACCCTGGCGATGTGGCCCCTGGCTGGATGTGCAGGCTCCAGGCCAGGATGCAGCACATCACCACACACAACTATGCTCATTTGCACACTCGTTCTTATGCATTTATACCCACACTTGTGCTCACAACTGCACTCTAATACTCATTCTCACATGCTCACAAGCGCACTTTCATTCTCACATTTACAAGCATGCTCATCTTGTACACCCACACTCATTTCCACACATGCTCATAAGCCCACTCTCATTCTCAAACTCATAAGCCCACTTATCTTGCACACTTACAAGTGTGCTCATATTCATGCACATTCATCCTCGCACATGCTTATTCTTTTACACTTACACAATTGCTCTTATCCTCACACACTCATGCATGACTCCTTACACATGCACACTCACAAGCATGCACATTCTCTGTTCACAAACTCACACTCTTCTCATACGCACACATCAATAACCAGTGTCCTCAGGTGAAGGCACTTCTCAGGATGCACTCTCAAGGTGTTCCCCTCCTGCTCAGGGCAGGCGCAGGGGCAGATGGACTTACTAGGAATGGCACCTGACATGAGATGCACCTCACGTTTGGAACAAGACCCAGTCAGAATAAAGAAGACTGCAGATTGCACCACAACTCCTCACAAGTTCAAGGAGCATCGCCTGACATGACTGTTTCCATTTTTATTTATAAATATTCTCTTCATCCGAAATTGCTCCAGGGTTCATGGATAGGATCTCAAACTGAAAGAATGGGCTAAGAGGTGTAGCACAAAGGCACGAAGTCATGATTGCTTGGGGCCTGTCCCTCCCCAGCTCCTGCCCTAGGTGCACACCGAGCAAGTGTGTACACCCATCCCCCATGTCTCCTGAGACCCTAACAGTTGAAGGGAATAGTAAGAGAACCAAGGTGACTCTACTTCACAGCTCTCATGAAACTAATTTGCATTTTTTATGTCAGAGAAACATGGAATTTTCATTTCTGAATTCATTGAAACAAAAACTGGAATGAAGTACAGAACAAGAAACTCACACAGACAGAATGGCTATTGGTATGAGCGGCCAAAGGACCTTACCTCCTTGTAGCAGAGTGCAGCTGAGGGCCGGAGAGGGGGCGCAGGCCGCAGGCAGCTCAGACTCCAGGGCTTGGGGGTCTTTGGAGGCTCCAGGGGCCCCCAGCTGATGGTGGTGTGCGGGGCACCATGGTGGGAGGGGTGGGGGAGCGTGTGGTAGGCAGGTGTCAGAGCCATGGGCTTGCTGTCTGCATGCTTGCTGGATGGGGTGACGGGATGCGAGGGGAGCTGCCAGGGACAAAAGTGAGAAGAGCAGAGAGAGCATGAGACCAGCAGAGTCCCGTAAAGGACTGAGCATGTGCACCTCACTCTGCTCCTTAGATGTAGGGGACAAGCCTAGTGGTCCATTTCTGGGCTGGGCAAAGGGTTGCAGGCACTGTCTGCTACAGGAACGCCTTACTCTTGTTAGAAGAAAGCAGTTCTGCACCATGGACTCAAGCCCAGCCTCCCACATTTAGGAAAAGGTTCATCACTCTGCAGGAGCGTCAGAATTTCCTAAGAGATCTGGCATTGCCTATACTGGAATGTGATAATAGGGAGAGAACACTCTCCTGAGTCACGTGATTCACTTCCTGGTGATCCTTGCACAACTAGTCCAGAGCCTGGTAGGGAGGGACAATCTGCCCTGTCCACTAGGGCCTGGATATTGTGCTGAGGGAGAGGGAAAGGAAGGAGAGAAACATCTCCTGACACAGCAAGCAGGTCCAGTCCTGTCTATGACCGTTTTCATGTTAAAAGGGCAAAGCTGAGTTGCAACAAAGGTCTATAAAGCCCCAAAGAGGGCTTAGAACCTGGGCCTAGATAGAAAATTGCCAATATCCAGAATAAAACAAAATACAACTTTTCCTGAAAAACTTAGCCATAGTGAAAACAAGCTATTCAAATCTGATTTTTATAAGGGTGTGTCATTAATAAGGTTCATACTCCTGGAACACCCCTCCGCCTCCATTCCATCACACTGACAGTGAAATCAGAAAATGCTGAATAAAGAAGTGGCACTCAGCAGGAGCCAGCAGCCTCAAGTCAGCCAACAGGCAGCACAGGCAGCTAGGAGGAGTGGCAACCTGGGGGCCACTCTCTGAATATATTCATGACATGGGAACACTGGCAAAAGGGGAAGGCTCCATGCCTGGGAGTGCGAGCCGTGGCCTCCTGTACTCTCCAAAGTTGGCCCCTGTGAGGGGGGTGGAATTATAAAAAAAAAAAAATCAGCTGACCAGCACAGCTGGATGACATTATTTTAAACACCCCTTCTGGCAATAATGCCACAGCAGGTAATGTTTGGTTCATTCCCCTCCAGTTGGAAACTCAGAAGACGGTGCTTGATGCTAAATGAGAATAAGACTCAGGCTACGTTGCAGGAGGCCCAGAGATGCTTAAAGTGGTGAACCACTAAAGGAAAAATAAACCACTGGTAAAACTATCCCAACCTCCCTCCCCATGAAGATGTGAGAAAACACAAATTCAAAGTGCTGTGTAATCCTAATTCATTCTTTCAAAGATCTGCCCAGTTTTTCAATACTATTTGATAAAGATGATAAGTGTTTTTTGGACATCAATTTATTATTAAACACCAGTACAGAGAGGTTTAAACACTGAAACTTTGGTGTTCATTCATTTTGAAAAGTTCTCTCTAAAGAGCTGCTAAACTTTTTAAAGTGAAAAATAAATTTCTTAAATCAAAACAGTGACTCAAAAACCATATTTTATGCCTTCAACATGAATGTGGCCCTTCTCGTCATTACCGTAATTTACTATTTTTTGTTGTTTTTTTTTAAAGCAAACATAACACACACAGCTAAAATTTCTCATCCATGGATAGTGCTTTCTGGGGATTTTAGTAGCAACACTCCCTCCAGTCCGTCTTTAGGGGCCATTCAGAGCAAAGGCCACATGCCCCACAAATGTCAACCAACTCATGAGAATGCCTGACAGAGGGTTGTGACACAAGAGCACCCAGTGCCAGCCCTACAGCAGGCCATCACCACTTGAAGCTGGGAGGAGGAGATCTAGGGAGCCCTTACAGTGTGAGATGGCACGGAGTGGGGCTTGATGGTGGGGTTGCCCGCAGATGTGACCTTCGTCTGCTTCTGCAGATGGTCCACCCATTCCTGCAGGTCCTGCTGGTTGTTGCAGGACACCAGTATCCGCTCGATCATGCTCCCTGGAAAGGAGGGAAACAGGCTGAAGTGGAAACTTGGGCAGGAAGCACATACACGCACATGCCCAGAACACGACTCAGCAATGCTTAAACGTCACCCTCCAAAATACATCAGCAAGGTCTGCGCTCAAGAGACAGGCTGCCTCCCTGGCGGGGACAGACAGCACACACACGGCTTGTGCCTATCACCTGATATTTCAAACGCATTCCTATGATTTTCACTGTCCTCAAGTTTTGTGATTGTCATTCCTGTCGTTGGTAGCTTTCCCTAAAAAAGACCCCCCCACAAAAAAATGCAATTAGTGCCTTTCTAGTAAAGAAGTTCTGTTATTAAAATAAATATTAAATGACTTTGGAGGTGGCAATGGTGTCATGCTGCTTGTGGCAGTGCACGCATACTATAAAGAAAACTCAGGTAAGGAATCAGCCTACAGAACGATGAATGTTCAAAAAGCTAAAGTTCAAAAAACAAAGAAAAATTTCATCTGCTCAATTACTCTAAACAAACACCAGGACATAAAAACGTTACCTACCACAACAAAACTAACGTGTATCACAGCTGTTTCAAAGAACACAGAAGGGAGTAAGCTCAACATATGAAGGCAGAGACAGGGTGGGAGATGGGTCAGGCACACGGGCTGCCTTACCAGTTACAACGCAGTCTGCCCACAGCAAAGGGGCTGTGCTAAAGCACTGCAGGGCAGGCAGCCACCCTGAGGGATCTGAGCAGGGAACATCAGCTGGAGACACACAATGGGGCCAGGCTGATGCCCATACACAAAGCAGAGCTAGCCCCAAATGTCACCCTCCAAAACAACACAGCAGCAAAGGTCTGCACTCAAGGGACAGGCTGCTTCCCTGGAGGGAACAGCCAACACTACAGCTTATGCCTATCACGTGGTATTCCAAATGCACAGCTTGCCCTGGGCACACAGACCACACAACTGGACTAAGCCTTTAGGGAAGTTGGGGTCATTCTAAGCCAAGCTGCATGGAGCCCCTGTAAGCAGAGGAGCGGGACTGCACCAGCACCCAGACACAGAGCTCCCAATACACAAGGGACGTCCCCAGATATGTGGTAGTACCACAACATGCAGATGCTCCCAACATCAGGTAGGCAGAGGTCAGAGAAGCAATCACATCCTATAGCACAAGGACAGTCCCCCCATCTTGCCTCCCAAGTAAACAATCATCCAACCCAAAGTGTCAGTGATGTGAGGCTGAAGAGCTATGTCCTGAAGCTCAGCAGCCAAGACAGCAGCTGACTGACACCAAGGCCAGGCCCATCCGGAAAACATAAGACAGGCTCCTTTCCCAGACCCATTAGCACAGGACTGCTAACAGCTGTGAGAAATGCTAAGAAAATGAAGCTGCAGATTCATGTTTTGCCTGGCACACCACAGCAGCAGCATGCACCTCAGCCCCAAAGCCAGTGTTCCTGCAGTGGGGGTTCCCTGCACCTGGGACAGGGATGTCCCTGGGAAACTGTCAAAAAGAAGAAGGTTGGGACCCTGCTGGTGAGACACCAATGCAACAGCAAGGCAGCCTTGTCAGGGGATAAGGCCCACCCCAAGGCCACAGCAACACCAGGCTTCCTCCACCCAACTCTGGAATAAGTGCCACACCTCCTTGACGCCCTAGTCCTTACTGGGACAAAACAAAACACACACCAAAGAAATGCCACCCAGAGAAAACAAAGATGTAGCTTCCCTCGCTAGCACATCTTGAAACCGACCAGTTTCTGGAAACAGAGGTGGAGGTATTAGCTTCCATTGTCACAGAAAGTCATCACTGAAAACTGCCAAGGGTATCTCTCAGATACACAAAAGCTACTTAATACCCCCACTGTAAATCAGAGCAGCAGCAGCAGCAGCAGACAAAAGCCCCGCCCCCTTACATTCCATCTCCAATCAGCTCTCCCATTTTCTCAAACAAAACCAGTGGAACAATTAAGAACAAAGGTCCAATGACAGCACTTGTGCTGATATAGCTGGGGGTGCTGTGCTATGTCTCACAACAGGCCCCAGCCCCAGCCCAGCCTGTGTTCCACAGAGCAGAAAGCAAACCCAGGGAGATGGATGGCACCACAGCCACCAGTGTGCTTCAAGGCCTCTCCACCAACACACTTCTTCCTTTCAGTTTGCTCAGAACAAACGCTGGTCTACATCAGAAGAGTCACACTGACACACAGGCGATGGATGCACACAGCACGGCACGCCTAGGACACAGCACGTACAGAAACAGGAACTGCTTCATGCTGAAGTTCAGAGCCAGCCTGAAACGATCCTCAGGTCTACCATAAACAATAAAACAGAATTCCAAACGTGTTTTACCTGATAGATGAAACCACTCATCCTGGGACTGCCAGACAACATTAGCAAAAGGTTTGGGAAGAGCAGAAGGTATCTTTCATTCTTTTCCTAATATAAAAAAACAAACAAATCCAAATAACTTTAAAAACACATCTATTTACAAATGTGAACACAATACTTTAAGACCTTAGGAAACACTACACTATATTGGTTGTTTATATATTCCTAACAAAATGCATTAAATAAATGAAATGGAAACAAAATTATGATCAATTCTATGTTAACCCTTAATATATGAGAGAGTTTGAACACAAAGGTGAAGACCCTGGATTGCTAAACTATTCAATACAAAAAGAAAATAAACTAATCCTGGGCTCACAACACCTGTGAAGCATCTTTGAAAACTAAATAGTGAAGGAGTTCTGCTCTGCCATTAGCTATTTCTAGTTCATCTACAATTTTCTTTTCATGGTTTAGAGAAAGAGAATTTATAAAATTTTAGTGGGGCAAGGCAGAACCAGTGGATTCTTTGAGGTTAAGGAAGGATTGGAAAAAATGTTAAAACAAATTCTATCATTGTTTCCTCGAATTTTGAGAGCTATATGTGCTTCATCCACTTCACAAACGTTCTCTAGTTACACAAATGACTTAAAATAGTATGACCTGTACACTAAAAATTCTTTGCTTCAATAGGTAACCAAGGCCAGGCATCTCAAAGGAAACAGAAATGGAAAGGCCAGATGGCCCCAAGACGTGAGGCCAACACTAGAAAGCAGTTTCCCAGGTGCCTTCTCCAGAGCACATGGCCACACAACACACCTCAAAGCACCTCCAAAGAGAGAGGCTGTATGTGTAAGACTCCTCTGGAAGCGACCATCACCCTCCCCCCGCCAAAGACCCATGGTGCACCTGGGAAGCATCCCTCAGACTGTGGCCCGGATAGCCTGGGTCATTCTTAGAGCAACACTCACCAAGGCTGTGGCCATCTAGTGTACTAAAGAACACGCTCTTAGACGTGCTTCCCCTGGGTATCTTAAATAAAGTTCACTTCACGTGAGTAAAAATCAAACCACTTCTAGACAGGTCTAGGTGTTTTGATCATTGTGGTAAATAAGGAAATTCATTATGGCACGCAGACTAAACGATCTTGTCTGCAGGTAAATTTAAAAAGTCAGGTTAAGAAGGGATCAACAGTGCACACCAAATTCAGTTATCTAACCATCACAAGTTTGACAATGGGCATCAGCACATGTTGCTTATATTTGCAAAGGCAGAATCAAACCATAAGAGACACCTGCTTAGTGACCCAAGAACCTGTAAGTCACCCACCTGCTCCACTTGCACTAAGTGGATACAGCACAAGTATCTGGTTTGATTTCTTACTTAACAAACCCTTAAGAAAATGGTTTTTACTTCCCTAAGTGAACTCCAATTAGAACACATTAAGAGAAAAATGTAAGGGCCTAAACCATCCACAACCACAGACTCCTGAGAGGGAAGCCCCTGGCTGGGCCAGTGCACAGGACCCCAGGGCAGCTGTTTGCACACCCTGGAAACCTGTAGTCCTGCTTCCAGTTCACAGGTCTGGACAAGTGGATCCTGCAGATCTAAACTGGTCAATAGCCCTCTACTGTGCCATAAGCTTCTCTTGTTTCTGCTGATATAGAAAGTAGAGCACAATTACAATCTGTTCTAGCTTGACATCTCTTCAAAATGCTCTATCATGAGAACTTATGGGTGGGTAGAGGCCACAGTGGTGCCCATGCACTTCAGTACCTCACTTCCTGCACACTGGATCATGACCTGGGACATGTAAATGACATTGCCCAGGGTCTTGATGTCATCTCCCTCCCAGCTTCGGATGGCTTCCGTCAGGATCTGCAACTCAAGCTCTTTCCTTTTTCGTACTTCTTGACACTGGGCCTGCAAGACACAGAACGTCACTGTTCAAAGAGACAGAAGCCTCCAGAATCTGAAGATTTGGCTATATTACTTCTTAAAACAATTATCGTTTTGTGTCTGACTTCTTTACTTTTTAGTTGTAGATAGACACAATATCTTTATTTATTTTTATGTGGTGCTGAGGATCAAACGCAGTGCCTCACATGTGGAAGGCAAGTGCTCTACCAATAAGCTTCGGTCCGATCCCCTGTGTCTTACTTCTTAAGAAAGACAAATCTATGGAACAATTTGCTTTACTGTCTGGAATAACAAGTTTTAAAAGTATATAATCAAGAGAAGCAAAGCACACAACTCCTCTGAGTACCAAATACTATTAGGAAAATGGCAGATTTTTGCCACTTTTAGGAAGTAGAAATACAGAGTGGGGGGCTGCGGCTATAGCCCAGTGGTAGAGCACTTTCGCAGAATGTGGGAGGCACTGGGTTCAATCCTCAGCACCACGTAAAAATAAATAAAGGCACTGTGCCCATCTACAAAACATATATATATATATTTTTTTTTCCCACACACACATATACAGTGGACAAGACAAATATTTTTCTTCTGGCTTTATTAGTGTCTGCCAACAAAGAAGACTGATAAGAGGAAAAAGGATGAGAACAATTTGCACTATATATAAAGGACAACTTAAAACACAGCTGGAACAACATGACAAGAGAAGAGACAGAATCCCAGCACTACACTCCCCAGAACACCACTAAAGAGGCTGTGCATGGAGGTTTGGAAATGCAGCATTAATTATGCTATGCCTCTTCAAAAGGGAGAAATCATCACTTCATCTTTCTGCCCACAATCTTCTAATGCAAGAGAATTTCCTAGCCATGGAAATTAGTTCTTAGTTCGTCACAAGTAATGTTTTTGCATCTGACCTTTTCAGCTGCCAATTCTACATTCATTTGCCATCACATGTCTGTGGAAGAAACCATGGTGTGCTTGCCCACTTACTGCAAGGGTTATTCCACATATATTTTGTGGGTACATTATAATTGTACATAATGGGAGATTCACTGTTACATATTCGTACATGCAAATGTCACAGCAATATAATCTGGCCAATATCATTCCCCAGTGGTCTCTTTTCACTCCCTCCCTTCCTGCTCCCAGGTCCCATTCCTCCACTATACTCACCGCAAGGGTTTTGAAGGCAGTCATGGATCTCTGAATGTCTTGTCTATCAGGATGATAATCCTTCAGATAAAGAAACATGCTATTAGCTTTCACAAAAGCTTTTCTTAAAAGGCTTCTCTCTGTAGCTTGGCCTAAAACCTTTCCAAATCTTTGTCCTCGACAAGGATTTTTCTTCTTAGCATCACAGTAGCAATCCTATTCTTTAAGGGCATCTTGGAGTCAGTGGGTTCAGGGGAATAGCCTGAGCAATGGTCAGCAAATATCTTCTGTAAATGCAGCTTTGCTGAACACGACCACCTCTATTTGCAGGGCATCTCTGATTCTCAGCTGCAGAGTGGCCAAGCCATGCGCAACAACTGAAGGGGAGGCCTGAGGAGGCCTGATGAACCATCCGGCTACAGACAGGTTGCCTGCCCAAGTCCAGAGAACACCTGAAACCTCAATTTGTCAGGTCTGCAACTTGTTAATCAAAATACCATTTGGAAATGAGTTCACATTTTCTAGTGTTTTTTTAAAATAATATATATATATACATATTTTTAGTTGTAAATGGTCACAATACCTTTACTTATTTATTTTACATGGTGCTGAAGATCGAACCCAGTGCCTCTCACATGCTAGGCAAGGGCTCCACCACTGAGCTACAGCCCCAGCCCCCATTTTCTAGCTTTTGGAAACTGTCCTATCAGCAGTGGTAGATGAGAGAGCAAGAAGGCAAAGCAGCAAATGCTTTCTTACAGAACAAGAATAAGGAGAAAAACTTCATATTCAACAAAGTCATTTTGAAAATTCACTAAGTTACAGACTCTAAACTCTGTGTTGGTCCTGGCTTCTAAAGTGAATCACTAATGATACTGTCCCTGATAGCAGTCTGACCCATGTCATCCCTCCTTGCTCAAGGACTCAGGGTTGGAAGAGAGGCAGCACCTCCATGTGTCTCTCCAGCTCCTTGAGCAGCGTGGGGTATTTGTCCAGGCGCATGAACGGTTTGCTGAGGCCAGTGGTCAGCACCAGGATCCCAGGGCTGCTGGCACCTTTTGTCTCCATGAACTCCCCCAGGTCCTCGCTGGCAACAGGGCATGGTGGAAAAGAGAAGATGCTTGGGGTTAGGGCAAAAGACAATATGGCAAGGCTTCTGTTAGTGAGAGCCAGTGTTTATGAATGTTGCAGTTTTTACAAACAAACCTGTGCTGTTTATCTCAAGACACCAAAGGGAACTCCAAAAAGGTTCCTCTCCCACAGAATACATGCAATTCCATTCGCAAAAGGGTCCCCCAGTATGTCACAACATGCAGACCTGTCCAAATGGAAGTTCACGCTCTTAGAGCTGCAATGGCTTCCAGGCATCTCAGAGTCTCAAGATAGCAAGAACTGCCATCAAGCTGCTCAAGGGAAAGACACTCCTGAACCAGGTGAGCTACACAAGGGCCACCTGCACCTCAAGCGGCCCAGTGCCAAGCACCAAATGTCTTTTCATTGCCTTCTGCAGAGGTGCACCTCCCACCTGTGGGCGTGCACCGCAGCACTACAAAAAAGACCAGGTCCTTGGGCTCTGAAGCAGAAGCAGCACATCACGCTGTCACCACATTTCACCCTCAGCATAGAGGGAGATGGAAAAACCAAGGACATGCCCATAAATTAGAAACCTAAAAGAAGTCTGAAACACCTTCCTATTCTTCTGCCACCGTCCCTTTACTACATTCACCTAACATTTTCTGTGACTAGTTCTCCCAAGCCATTCATGTCTACAGCCACTGTCCCTGCTCCAAGTTCAACAGGAATCAATGAGCAGGCACTGTGGGACTGTTGTCACCAACATCTATGACTGCCGACACAGAACAGGTGACCTATAAGGTGCCTGCTAGTGCTCAAGGAGGCTATCCCTCACTGTGTATGCATCATCCAGACATCAGGAGCCCCACAGCTATAGGTGAGAAAGGGGGGCAAGAGTTAAGGGAGCCACATCCTAGGAGACCAGGGTGACATATCCCATCCCCGTCATCGTACCAAGTCCCTAGAGGCTGGGGTGTTACCCCAGCCACCATGTCGTGTTCCAGGAGACCAGGGTAACCTCCCACCCAGCCATGCCAAGTTCCAGGAGACAAAGGTAGTATCCACACCTCAGTTACCATGTCACATCCCGGGAGACCAGGGTGATGCACAGAACTCCTACACATATACATAAATCACACATTTGACACCAAAATCAAAGCAAACCATAAAAAAGGGAAACCTTACATAATCCCAGTTATAACAAATTAACAGGCATAATGCACATTACCTCAATTCTATATATAGAAGAGGCTTGGTAATTATTTTACTCCTGTAAGAAAGAGTCTATCATGATGATACAATTTAAAAAAAATTATCAGCAGAGAAACTATTCAACTACTTCTAGGAGTGTGTGACAAAATTATTCAACTACTTCTAGGAGTATGTGACAAACCTTTTCACAGGCAGCATCTCAACTTCTTTGTGTCTGGTTTTGTGCTCTCTAACCATCTTCCCAGGGAAACTGCAGGGCTGGATTAACTGAAAGTTCAGTGAAGTATGCAGGCCCCACTGGACAGCACCACACTGTGCATCCAGAGGCATGCTGCTGCAGAAGCCAGAGCAGCAAGCAAGGCCCTGGGTACACAGCCACACTACCATGGTAACCAGAGGCCCTCTGCCACCCTGGTGTCAACCTTCCACATTAAGGGCACTGCTGCCAGCAGACCCTCAGGACCAGGGCAAGAAAAGAAGCTCAGACACCCAGGAGCACATGCTTTTGCTGGCGCGGTGCACTGCCCAGGCTGCTGCTGCTAGCTGAGCCAGACCCCCACCACTGCTGCTCACCCTTGCAGCCCCCAGAGTCTTACTGAGAAAAGCTGGTCTCCTGAAATCACTCATTCTGCCAGGCCCGAAAGCAGGAGTAAAGTGGGAGAAATTTCTATTTTACTAACATTTATCTAAAATGAACACACACTTAAAGGTCAGTCTTTATGATATTAAAACAGTATTTCAATTCCTTTAAATATAATCTATACCGTGTCTTTTCCATCAAGATAGAAAGCAAAAGTCAAATTTCGTATAGTCATGGCAGAAAACTAAACAAAACTGAACAAGTTATGCTCATCACCTCCCTCAAAACTTGCCTAAAACTAAAAACATGAAGTGAAATTTTAACAAGCAAAAGTAGCTTCTTGTAATATCCACACAACACTCTTATGATTCCAGAACATGTGTACACATCCTCAAGAGGAAAGAAAACAGTATAAGCCTTCATGGATCACGCTTCGTTCTATAGGGTTTTTAGTACTATAACAAAGTAGGTGGTTACAGCTATGGGATAAAACAATGATTCTTTCGGCACCATTCCTACTGCTGCCAGCAGCCACAGTCTCCCTCCTCTGCACCTACTGAAATGACACCATGGCAACAAGGGAACAAGGTAAAAAGAACTATGTGGCCAAGCAAAGAGTAGCAAACAGCTGAGGGGAAAGTCTTTTTTTTTTTTACAGACCCATTTATGAAGATAAGCATCTGCAGTCCCATGATAATGGAAAGGCATTAGAGCTCTGCAGAACTGGAACCAGCATGTGTTTGCCAGAAAAACAACCCAAAGACTGGGAGCTGTGGGTGCAACCATCTGCGGGGAGAGGGGGGTGGAAGCAGGTTCCCACACATGCTGCAACCCGTGCATAGGTAAGACTGTCAGCTTCAACGCACTACACTCACACCAGTCCTCAAAACCTAGGCTCAAGCCTAAGACCAGATGGGACACCCTGCGGTGTGGTAGCTCACAGGCACTCACACTGAAAGACAGAAGAGCTGCCCATTCAGACTCTGAGTGTAACAACAGGAGTGCTGACAGCAGCTGTCAGGCGTGAGCACTCGCCATCTCAACGAATGCAAGTGCACTTTGGAGCAGGGCATAATCTATGGCAGACAAAGGGGGAACTTTCCGGGCTCAGGGGAGGCAGGAAGGAACACGGGCACTGTGCACTGCTGTGACTGCCAGCACCTGCTGGATCTGAGGGACTCTCCTCTCTGGCTTAGCCCCTGGGAGCCACCTGCTGCAGGGTTGCCGTCCAGCACGCGACCCTGGACTCCCACTCCATGCTCAGCATGCCAGCCACATGCAGCAGGCCTGGAGGCTCTTGCTCACAACCTTATCTGTACTCCTTCCTCTAAGTACATTCTGATAAAATGCTGTGTTCACCTTTCAGACACAACAGAGTCGCTGAGGTAACAGCACACAAGAGGGTAGACACAGCACTCCCGTGAGCATTTCACCTGAAAGGGTTACACTTCAAGATACCCCAAGTCTCAACTGCTCCACACACCCTTGTTTCTACAGGAAAAACCCTTACAAGTCTTTGCCAGGACTGTGCACCCGTCCCTTTCTAAGCTCTCAATCTTCTCTACAGGAGAGCCTCTCTCCAAAGAAGAGGTGGGGGGATACACAGAAAAGATCTTAGAATTTTCTGTAACACTCCACTTGCTTTTTGTGGACCTCTTCCCATCACTGCATCAATAACTTCTGAACATTTTCATTCATACAAACTTAATACTTGCTTTTCACTTTTATGGAAATTTCATTTAATTTGTAATTTCCTGAAGTTGATGGTACAGCACATATTTGAATACACACTTTGCACATTTAGGACAGTGCGTGGCTAACATGGCCTCTGCCTGTGGCAAGGATGGGTCTCTCAGATCTCCCTTTCCCACAGCTGCTGAGCATTTGAGCCCCTCACCCCCTTCCTCACACTGTCAAAGGCGGCTGCTTCACTTCAGGACAACACCAATGGGAATATGAACAACTAATCCTTTTACATTGAGCACAGGTGACCCAGATCACTTTACTTCTTTTAACAGACAATAAAACAATGTACCTTTATCACATTCGCTCCAATCTGACCAGTCTGTACATACAGACCAGCTCAAAGCTTACTACAGCCCTGGGAGCAGGATTTCCAGTAAAGGGACCTAAAGCCCAGAGGCACAGGCCCTGGGCCTACAGGCAGCAGCAGGCGGCTCCCACGGGACTCTCCAGACACTGCAGCCTCCACAGCAGACCAGCAGACAAGCAAGGCCAGCACATCAAAGCTGCTTGTTGTGTTTTAAAAGGAAATGTTAAGAATAAGCCCAGGTTAAATTTGGAAATTAGAAGCACAATGGCATTTCTCTTGATGCTACTGAATTTTTTTTTTCCAATTACAGTTTTAAAAAACTTCTGAATTGCCAATTTTGAAAGAAACCATGAAATCACCTCTAAAACATTAATAAAAATACTGTGCTTCTCTGAGAAACAGAAACCAAATCTCTGCCCTCCGGTCATCCACATGGTCATCCGGCACAAAGCCATCACTAGCACTCAGCAGTCACTGGAGCCGGGCAGCTCCTCAGTCACTGGGACAGCTACCTGACTTCCTCTCCCCAGTAACAGGAGACAGACATGCCTCATCCCTTTGAGAAAATTTACATGTTCTGTTTTACATGTTCTAATGTTGTTACAGTCTGAAAGGCTCAAGGTAAAGGTCTCTAATGCACTGCTCTATCTGCGCAATCAAGTCCTCGTTTGAAATGGGACTCTCCTCATACAGCCTCCATCCTTCAGCTTTGCAACCCAGGAGCACTCAGAGTCCCTCAGCCTTGACTTGGCTGATGGACAAAGCCCCAGTGCTTCCCAGCTCCTCCAACCCACCACCCAAATAGGTTAGGCTGAAGGGTGACTTCAAAAGGACCCTCTTCTTTTACAAACACCAAGTACCATTTTAAAGTTTCTCGAGCACTCATTTTGAGAAGCAATTAAAATGAAATCACCCTGCGTATCACAGTCTATCTGGGAGCACAAAGCTGCTGGTCTTCCCTTTGCTCTGACATCTCAGTGAACAGACCTGTGCTCTGTAAGGACGCTCACGGCAGATGGGTGGTTGGCACAGTAGGCAAGGTACAGGGTTCTCATTTGTGGCATCAGGTTCAGAAAGCAGCCACCAACTCTCTGCTGGGCCTCAGGTGACCTGGAGACACAGGAGGAGACAGCGTCAGTGCTACAGACAGGAAAGGGGTTGAATGACAGGTGACCCGTGGATTTAGGCAGGATCACAAATCCCAGACCCATTTGTTCCTACCTCCAACTGAGCAGGCAGGAGGGTCCGCCACAAAAAAAACTCCACTCTCAGGCTCCCTCCTACAGCTCTAGACTATCAGGCTGGCACACCAGACAAAGCCCAAGTTCTTCAGGCAGTGGGAAAATTTGATTTCACAAAGCCTTTAATTTTTGCATAAAAAGAGAGAGTTACCAAATGTGGTTATCTGTTTGTAAAATTTCCTAGGAAGCAGCATGGAGGCTGGCACAAGAAAAAGCCCAAGAGGCACCTTTCACTTCAGGCTGCATGCAGAGACTGAAGACAGATACACCTGTTAGTGCCCCTCCTTCCCAATCAAGGCCACGCATAGTGACAGCTCGTGGCTAAAGGCAGAAACTTGCTAGAACCTGCTGTGGAAGCAGAGACGCAGTGAGCAGTGCAATGCTGAGCAGATCCAACAAGCTGAAGCCCACCTGTCTATCCAGACCTTAGGGTGCTTCTGCAAGCAGGACACCACATGCCCTCCCTGCACCCTAAACAGTCTCTGCCCACCAGCACAATGACAAGAAGGATCATATCCTGCTCTCTGAGGACTCCAGCCAGAGAAAGTGACCCAAAGATATCAATGCCAGGGACTCCTCAACACCATGAGAATCAGCTAGGCTGGAGCAGTGTCAGTCCCTCCCCCTGTGTTCTTAGCATGTGTGCCTTAGTTACAAGGGGCACTTAGCATGCATGCCTTAACCATAAGAAGACATGCAACAACCAACAAGAGATTTTGGGAAAATAAAAAAAAAAAAAAAAGAGAGAGAGAGAGAGAGAGAAAATGAGAATAATAAAAACAAAAAAGAAGTGACAGTTACTCTCCAGAGAGCAGAAAAGTTTTTGAAATATGTCTAATTAATCCAGAAGTAAAAATAACAAAAAAAGATACTGCAACCATGAAAAAAAGGAAAGGATTCTATTAAGAACATTCAAAACAAAAATTAAAAAGCACTCTAGCAATAAAATAATGACAGGAGAATTGAAAAAGTCAATAGGAAATTGGAAAGTGAAATTCTAAAAATCTTCCAGATTAGTAGGAAAGGCAAAGAAAATTAGAAGACCAGAGTAAGCCTTGACACATCAGGATAAAAGTTCCAGACATGGAAACAAAGGCAGGTAAGCACAAATGAATCAAGAAATCTTCAAAACAGCAGAAAGGATAAAAGACACATGCTGTATGCCAACTGGAGAAAGTCATGGAATCAGGGAGAACAGAGTCAGACGGAAAGCACCCCAAGTGTTGCATGGTGGGTGAAAACAGACCCAAGAGAAACACAAACGCCCCAAATCAGGACCCTAGAAACACAGCTACTAAAAGCTCCAAGAGAGAAACACAGGTTCTCACAAAGATTGGAGTCAGAGTTGTTGGAGGTTCCCACCATCAGAGCCCCCAAACCAGTGCCAACAACAGTAACAGTGGGTACAATCCTGAGTCCACAATCCAGTGTCATCTATTAAGCAGGAGGCTGGGCTGACCACCCACCTAGAGGATGCACATCACTAAAACCAGGAATCAGGAAAACAGAGTAAAACAGTAGGGGCTGTGTATGTGCCCCAGGATGAGGCCCAGCCTACTTGGGCAGGGAATGCAACTTCTGTTCCACTACCCCCTCAGTAAAAGCTGTCTCAGTCCATACCTGGTGCCATAACAAAAGGCCTTGGAAATGGGTGATTTTATAAATAAGGACCCACCTCTCAAAATGTCAAGGTGTTGGCAGATCCAGTGTGTGGGAAGGGCCTATGTCTACTTCTAAGGTGGTGCCTCATGGCTGCATCCTCACACAGCCCAAGAGGGAATGGCTCTTGAGCCCCTCCTTTATGAGGATGACAATGCCATCCATGAGGCTCTATCCTCAGGACCTAATCCCCTCCAAAAGACCCCACCTCCGAAGATCATCTAGTGGAGGATTAAGTCTCAACAGATGAGACTGGGGGACACATCTAGACCATAGCACACTGAGCTTTTTAACTATGCTGCTACCTTGCAGCCAGGACCCAAAACAGCGTCTGCTAGCCTCTGACCCCTTCAAGTCTCTAGACAAGTCTCCTCTGGTTTCCCACACCCCAGCAATGGTCCTCTACCCAAGACTGCAAAGTACCAACTGGAGAAAGTCATGTAATCAGGGAGAACAGAGTCAGGAGTATTAGGAAAAGTCTTTCCTTCAAAGTACAAAACACTCAAAATCACGTTGCCTTTGTTTTCTCCCTGTTGTTCCATAACCTTCACTCATCCCTGTTGTTTACAGGCTCAAAGGCTGTTCCTGACCTACTAAAGCCTGCCCTAGGATGGCTGTGGGAAAGACAGGGAAGTAACACTGTAAGCCCCCAGCACCTCTCTCCTGGCTCCCGCCATTAGCCTTCCCTTCTACTTCAGCAAGTATGTGGTTTTAAAACACACGGCAGAAAAGAGATATTGGTGTTGGACACTGACCGCTGCTTGCTGCTTCTCAAGTGGAAACAATTCACAGATGTAAATACAAAGTTGTCAAAAAGCAGAAAACAAAAAGACCTGGGGAGCGTTAAACAGCTGTCCATGTAAAAAGACAGGTGTCCACTGTGAGTATTTCAAATTCTCATCTTTTTCTTCTCATGGAGTTCTCTTTTAATTGTGTATATGAGCAAACAGGTCCCTACCCAGAGCAGCAAAAGAAAGCTCCCAGGAGCACAGGAAGTACCTTCTGGGAGTAGCAAGTTCAGTACCATCTGCAATAGCAAGGCCATCATGCCTTTAGGGGAGGCTGAGATGAACAGATCCACACACAGAGGGAGGTCTGCCCTCCAGCTTCCTCCAATGTGCTTCTTTGCCTTCCAATTCACTAGCCAAAGATGGCTACATGAAATTACCTGAAATTAAATAAAAGGAGAACTCCAGCTTCCCGGCTGTAGCAGCCAGCAGCCACTACACCAGGAAACACCTGCAGGGAACATGCATCCTAGCTCACCAGACCACATTTCCAAACCCTGAGTGGGCCACACACTTAGCATGGGTTTTACGTTTTGATATAGTCACCCTTAACTGAAGTCAAAGTGTTTCCAAAAGTGTGAGCCACTCAAAGGGGTTCTGACAGCCTCTCAGGACTCGCCACAGCTCCTTCTGCCTGCAGGGCAGAATTGCCACAGCAAAGTAGCTTCAACTACTCATTCAGCACCATTACCCAGCACTGGGGAGAACAAAGCAGAGTAAGAGTAGTCTCTTGCCTTAGAAAAACAAGCGCCATCTTTCTGGAAAATACAAAACAAGTGCACCAGTGAACTGGACAGGAGACAGGGCATGAGGAACGGGTATAGCCTACAGAGGAAAAGTGTCCACTGGGAGCACGCAGGCAGAGTCAGGGGCTCACACCCAACAGAGGCACACGCACAAGGACAAACCAGGGCCACCTGCCCTAAAGATCCACACACACAGATACATGTGTTTTGAGAACAGTAGGTCCTGCCATCTAGCAGGTGAAAGGCATACTCAGACAGGTGAAACGCCAAGAAAAGGGTGGCTTCCAGGATGAGAGAGGACCCCAAGAGGCTTAGCCAAGTGGACTGAAGACTACTGCATAAAGATGGGCACCAAGGGCTGAGCATATAGCTCAGTTGGTAGAGTGCTTGCTTTGCATGCACAAGGCCCCGGGTTCGATCCCCAGCATCACCAAAAAAAAAAAGAGAGAGAGAGAGAGAGAGAGAGAGAGAGAGATGCACAGGGACAATATTAGAGATAGATAATCTCACGTGGGTTAAATTACTACAATTGTGTACACATTGCCCAGTACAGGCATATACTGTTAGGATTTCACCCCCTACCTGGTTCAATGCCACAGCTCTGGATCCACTCAAAAAAGACTACACCGGGGCTGGAGTTGTGGCTCAGTGGTGGAGCACTCACCTAGCACATGAGAGGCCCTGGGTTTGATCCTCAGCACCACATAAAAATAAATAAAATAAAGGTATTTGTTTCCAACTACAACTAAAAACTAAATATTAAAAAAAAGAAGACCACACCCAAAGTCTAGATCAATGGATTTCATGTCTCAAATTTGTCAACTGATGAAAATCAGAGTAAGTATCAGGCATAAAGGAACAATAACCAGTGACTTTTTCTCTTCTGCTACACTGAATCTAAACTAGAGTTCTGTTACCTCTTAGGCATGAACTAGCTCTTAAGAATACAGAACCAGCACTGGATTACTAGACAGCTTCATAATGAATTACTCATCTGGTAAGGACTCATGGGACAACCAACAAGCTCATAGATGTGAGCACAGAATGTGACTTGAGAACTGAAACAGAGAATCTTCTTCTGGTTCTCTCGTGCTTCTCAGGGTGTGAGAGCAGGCAGGTGGAGAACAGCTCGTGGGTAGCTACATAGAAAAGCACCCTGTTAGCTCCTCCCACCTGTAGCCTCCAGTCAAGCCAATGCCATAGTAAAAAGCACGTGTGGTGGTGTCACCACACAGCCAGAAGACCATGGCAGCCACACACAATGTCTACCCCCATGCCATACAGCATAGCGTCAGCAGGAGGTTAAAGAGGATGTCCATAGAAGCTTTCTCAGGTATTTTGCTGGGACCTGGCCATTTAAAAAAAAAAAAAATGGTATGTTTTCATAGCTTTAATTTCCAAAAAAAAATATGGCCAGGTCCCAGCAAAATACCTGAGAAACTAGAGAACTTCTATTTCTGCTCCTACAACAACTACTCCTATTGGTCCTACTCATCAGAGATGAGGAAAGGACTCAGTTTACTAACTGTTCATTGCAGATGAGGCTGAGATCAACAGGAAGATGAAACTAGGACCTGAGTAGACCTCAGTTGTGTCCCTGTTCTCAGTGAACCCAGCACAGTCTGTCCATGTCACACAGACACCTTCAGAGATGAGACTTCACAAGCAGTTTCATATATATATATATATATATACATATATATATATATATATATACATATATATATATATATATACATATATATATACACACATACTTTGAGAACCACAGTTAAGTCGGGCCACCAAAGGCCACAGTCTGGCTGGGCACAAAATAACCGAGCCACCACAAAGCCTTGTAGGTTCAAACAGCAACTCTTTATTCCCGATCTCTCACCAGCACTCCACAAACACTTCCCGGGAACACACTCCCTCCACCAGGCTCTGCGCCAATTCTCAACTCCAAAGTAGTTGCGTTGTACCCAAGGCAGCAGGATCCGCCCTAATCCTAGAGCCGCCCTATTCCTGGAGCAGGGTCACCTTTCAACTATTCCCTCTGGCAAAATGTATATATATATATATTTTAAATTGTCGCTAGACCTTTATTTATTTATGTGGTGCTGGGGATCGAACTCAGTGTCTCGTGCATGCCAGACAAGTGCACTACCGCTAAGCCCGAGCCCCAGCCCCAGTCTCCTAGTCTTACTCACAGTGGGGTCACAAGTGCCAACACCATAATGGCCACAGGCCTGGCAATCTGTTGGCAAGTCTGCTCTTGTTGGCCCCAAAACCAAAATGAAAGACTATAATCCCATTTGTCCCAATTGTGGCCCCCAGGACCAGCATCACAATGGCCTCATTTTTGATACTTCTTTGAAGGATGTGTCTCCCTAATGTCTTTCATTAATAGTGGCATTATGTAAACTATTTCTAGATGGCCAGAGCTTATTCTCTCTTCTGGTAGGACCATTCACAAGCCTCTGTAACTTCATGATGAAACAGTGTCCCATATATGACAATGTGACACAAAGCAGAAGAGAGGAAGTTAGGAGACACTGTAATCATGCAGGGTTGTGAGAAGCCAGCTGTGGCCCTGAAGGTCACCAGAACAGGGTGAGGGCAGGAGAGCAGAAAATGAGAGAATGGGGGGGCAAGGGAGAGAGCAGGGTTGCCAGCAAACCCTGCACCCCCACTGACTGCCAGCCTATATGTTGGCATCCATACTTAACAAAGAGCTAGAGAGCTGGTATGTTTTCATAGCTTTAGGTATTAGAAGAGCATTGCAGTCAATACCAAAATAAACACAAGTAAAGCATGGAATGACAGCAAGAACATTCCACAAAGAGAACAACCTGGAGATTCTGTTTTCAGCAGAACTTAACCTGCTTTACACAATAATACACAAGCAAGTCCCCTACTTAAAAGCCTTGCTTTAGAGGCTCTGCCAGAGTCCCACAATCCTCCAGAACTCATTTTACAGCCACAGCTACATACCCCTGACTAGTGAGAATAGTATCAAAAGAAAAGCTCTTCAAATCACAGTCTAATGTGCCTCCAATAAAGCAAGTGTAAAGAACTCTCCATCACCTAAAGTGATATTTTAAAGGAAAACTGCATTCCCAACACTATACTCAGAGAGCATATGCTGCTTCAGCTCTCCCTACAAATTGCCCACCGAAATGAGGCTGAGCACGTTCCCACTATGAGCAGATAGCCTGGGCTCTAGGCCTGGCTGGGCCTGCGGCTTTCCTCTGAGGCAGCAAGAAGAGTCCACTCCAGGTCAGTAGAGGGCAGGGGTGAGCAGCAGATGGATAGAGCCCACTGGCAACAATGTTGCTAACTACCAGATTCAAAACCATACTTCAAGACTCATAGTAGGAGGGGCTTCTCAGAATCAGTTCATCCTTCACATTAAGCAAAGGGGAGACCACTTGGGCTCCAAATCAGAGTCCACCATTCCCATGGCCCAGGGCCAATCACCCTGCCCCTTGGGTATACAGACCTTCCTACCTTTACAAAGCTCCCCCATGGGGTCATCTACAGGGTCACATAAGTTAATACATAGAGAGCGAAGTCAGTGCCTAGGACACATTAAGAAGATGTTCATAAATGGTGGGCCTACATAAAAAGTTCACCTTAAGGGGCTATTTGCCACTTACAAAAATGAAATAAACTCTAAAAAAACACCTGACAGTAGGTTGTACACATATGGTACTTTACATCCACCAGCTTCTTAAAGGCCAGGAACAAGTCACAATTACAAGACCGTGCTGGAAAACGCCAGCCTTCTCGATCCCCCTCTGCTGCAGCTCATGGTGGCACATGCGGAGCCGAGCCACCTGTGGCCTCCTGGCCAGTTCCTCTTCAGCCTCTTCCTCGTAACCCTCCCTCCCCTTAAAAAAAAAAAAAATATATCAACCTTGTCAAGACTTTCCCCTTTCTTTCAAGATCTCTATTATAAAAACTAGATTATCTAAAATACAGCTTTAACTATAAAGGTAGATCTTCCCAAAGGATATAAAATAAGCAGTTTGCATCTTCAGAAATGTGAATTCTAAAATGATGTTAAACTTGATCCATTTGGTTCCAATAATACCAATTTGAATTTTGTAAACTTCAGCATCTTACTTACTTGGTGCATTCTTCTAAAGACTGTACAAGCATTTGCTGGAAAGAACATATCTCCTCTAGATTTCCCATTAAATATGAAGTATTTGCTGAACTTAACCTAGAGCCAAGAAAAATAACAATAAAAATTAGTCAACAGTTTGGCTTGCATTCCCCCGATTCCCAGCCCAGGTCCTGCTGCAGTCTTAACCTAGCAGATACACTGCTGTGTCTGAGGCAGACTCCGCTGCTGAGTTCCACTCCATCATTTCAACTTCTGCTTCCCAAAAATAAGAGTATAAGAGAAGAGCCTAAGGTAAGAACCAACGGTGCATGCAATTGTCATCTAACTTACTTCTCACTGGTCTGCAATGGCCGTAGGTAAGTTGAAAGCACGGTTTGAAGTTCTTTAGAATATTCATTTTCTGTTTCTAAAATATTCTGTAGCACCTACAATAAATGATGAATAAGCATTATTTGACACTAAGATTTGTGAACTTTAGGACATTCATAACCATTGTTCAATTTACATATGGCTTCTAGGTAATACTAAAGTGCTGAATGTAATTATTCCTTGGATTAACTTCTATCCCCTGTCATAAATCATTACTAAGGTCACCCATCAGATTTCATCTTCCTGTCAACCACACTTGGCACGGGTATGCATAGAATGAACGTGAATGAATTCCATCATCAAATAAGCAGGGCCACATCTATTTAGATGAAAAGGATGGTCCTCAGAGGAATGCACAGATGACCGTCTACACACAGGGCTATGCAGGAAAAGTATTACATCCCCATCTACATTAAGTCTACAAGCAGGCACAACTTATCTATGGTGACAGAAATCAAAATGGGGTGGAAGATGGGTGGGGAAGGGAAAAGGGACACGGGATAAATTTCTAGATGATTTGTTCTGTATTTTGATTTGGGTAGTGGTTACACAGATAAATGCATTTGTCAAAGCTGTATCTTTAAAATCCATGCATTTTAATATACAGGGTAAGCATAATTCAAAAACCAAAGAGCTCCATACTCTTACACAGTCATGATGATTGAAAAGTTTCAGATCTTGAAAAGTTTTAAATTTTTGGAACATTTTAGGTTTCAATAAATAATGCTAGTAAAATCTATGCAAATATCTAAAATACAAAATCTCCCAACTCAAACAGTTCATGTCTCAAGCCTTTTGGTAAGAGACACTTATAAGCGAAAAGTATCCCAACTAAATGGAAGACACTTACTCTTTAGATTGAATCTGAAAAACTGAAATCAACTCCTGCGAACTAAAGACTTTGATTAGAGAATGTGGTAAAGTCTTGTATCATCCTACATACCACATCTACTAAAACTTAAAGGTCTGCCCAAGTAAACAATCTTTAAATAGCTACTACTTTGTTTAAAGACATCATAATAAAGTAACCTTAAATAACAGCACAACTTAAAAGGTCTATGCTATTTAACCTTAAATAATAATAAATTTATTTAGTCTTAAATAATAAACTAAACCTTAAAATTAAATATGTGTGTGTGTGTGTGTGTGGCAAATTCAGCAAAATTTAGTTAATCCCTAAAACCTGGCAGATGAAGTGCAAAAGAGTTGAAGCAGAGCAACGGTCCCCATCTGCCATCACCCACAGCAAAGGTGCCCCCCCTGGGAACTTTGGGAGGCAGAAGGGTGACCCACAGCCCAGGGAATGCCACTGATCATGGGATTCTGATGGACTGGGTTCTCCAAGCAGTGACACTCCGTACATGCCTAGCACCAAGCATATGGTATCTGTGATCCTTGCAAAAACACATTTCCTTCTAAGAAGCTAATTTGTCCTACCCACATAAGACAGCTGGTGAGCAGCAGAGCCAAAAAGTGACCTGGCATCCTTCTGCCACTGCCTGCAATATAGGGCTGCTCTGGGCACCTGAGGGAAGGAGGATAGGAGTCAGAGTCCCTTCCCTAACTGAACCTTTTTATCCCTCTCTACTAGAAAGTCAGTATTGTTTTAACCAGAAAATCATAGTACATGCATTTTCTCCTTGTGCTATGTGTCTCGCAAAACCAACAGATCTTTCCAAATCCATCACACAAATGAGAGCGTACAGGAGTAATTGAGATACTGAGCACTTGGTTATCTTCTGATAACCTAATGTAGGTTGAGACATTAAGTCAGAAGAGTTAAATTCAAACCTCAGCCTTAACACATATGACTTGGGTCATTCTTCTGTCTACTGCTGCTCCTGAGACTGCGATGAGAGCATAGTCCCCACAAGAAAATGCAGACCTCAGTGAAAAACGTACACACCAAGCCATCCAACAGGGCAACCTCTGAGGCTTCCAGACTGCCCATCAAAACACTGTTCTGGTGCCTGTGAGGATAGCTGGTGGGGGTGGAGTCAAAGGGGAATGAGACTCAGAACCACACCTGATCAGAGACTATCGGAAAAGTGAGTCAAGCACAATCGTCCTTAAACAGAAATGAAAACAAAATCTGTTATGCATTATGAGAAGTCCTTTTTCAACTTAAAAGTAGAGGTCAGAAGGATGAGGCAGCTTCCTAGTTACAAACACTGGAGACCTCTCGCCCACACTACTCAGTGCATGCTTGAAAACACAAAATTGTTTTCAGTCAGAAAAATTCTCCTACGCAATATAAAGACAACAGCCACTAAAAAATTCCCCTAGTAGAGATAGGAGTAAAATAAAATGACACTTCCTCAATCACAGCACTGAAGTACAGCACACAGGGACAAAAGCTGCCCAGGAAAAGGCACCAAAATGACTGCAAAGACACTCACCCAAAAGCTGGATTCTCTAAGATAGCTGCAGGGGCACGGGCCCTGAGTGGCCAGGCACAGAGAATCATACAGTCCCGCAGGCACCACAGAGAGCAGTGGCCTCAGCAGACACCCACATCCCCACACTGTCAACCTCAAAGCAAATCAGAGTGCAAAGGACTGGCTCCTATGCCTCACAGACGCATAGAAACTCACCTTATCAGCAATGCCACTGAAGCAGCGAATGAGCTACAACTATGACCACAAATCTCAGTAGTGTTGCATGCTTTATGTGTCATTAACAGTTCTTAAATAAATTAATTAATGATTTACATATGAGAAACAACATTAGGCAATTGTTTTAGGTTCCATACAGATAAAACATTACCATCATCTTAAACTAAAGCCAAATGCCCATAAAATAACCTTAATCATAAACACACAAAAAATTAAAAACGTACAACTATTCCAAACCGTCTTCTGCTCTCTCAACCAGCCCCTGCCTGCAGCCATCACAAAGAGTGAAAAAAGTCACTTAAGTGACACCTTTCAGTCCAGTCTATTTAAATTCTCAAAAGGTTACAATGAGGAAGGCAGGGAGCTCACTGGCTCCATAATCTATGGGTTCTAAAAAAACACAGAGTAACCCCCATTACTGATATCAGCTAGTTTGCTAACCTCCATTTGTCCTTAAAAACAACTCCATACTTAATACCTGTTAATAATATGGAGTCTCAAAGAGATGTGGAGGGAGCACATGAGCATCTCTGCTTTTTTAGTGTATCCTTTAGAAGAACTGTGTTATTTGATATTTGTAAGCTTGGGAGTTCACAGGGTCTTGGGGTAGACTTCTTCCAGTATTAAAGGTTTATCAAAAAACAGCTACTACAAAAGCCTGTGGGTCCACATGATGCACAACGCCACAGCAGGCAGAGCACACCAACACTGCAGGGCGGGGAGCTGGGTCAGCCTGTTTCTTCTATAAAAAAGGATTTAAAGGATTTATAGTTAACCAAGAGCATCTGTCACTGACTTAAGGTAGGAAGAAATCTTACCAACCCACCAGGACATCTCCTAACTCAAGCTGGAAACCCTGCTCAGAGCCTCTTCCTGAGGGACCCGTCTAAGAGGGGGTTCTCTGTTTCACAAGACAGCCTTTTCCTCCACCAAGCATTTCTTCATTCACTAAAGAGTATTCAGCTGATTCTATCAGGCCCCCATCAGGTCCCCACCACCACCAGAAACTGCAATGCATGCCATCTCAGTCTACATAAAACAAGGCAGTTTCATGAGAACTAAAAGAGCCAATCTACCAGGGAAGACTGCAAGCATCCAGTTCCCACAGAAAACATGGTGAGATACACAAGGGAGCTACTTCCCAGGAAAGCCACAGAGAATCAAGCTGCATGCCTGCAGAACTCCTGGACATGGCAGATAATTATACTCAGCAGGACTTAAAAGGAATACTGAGAAGAAAAACTAAGTAGAAAGTAAAACATGAAGCGAACCAGGACCTAGAACTAGTGATGGTGGGTTAAACCAAAGACATCCTATTACTAGAGTCTCAGTTTTCCTGCTGGCTTGTCATCCAAAGGCTACCAGCAACCTCCCAGACCCCAAGAGAAACAGACAGGCAGAACACTCCTTTGGGGCACAGGAGAAGGTGAGGAGGCAAGCAGTGGTCTTTGTTAGAGAAATGCATCTGCTCTACGTACCTGTAGATTAAACTAGTGGGTCATAGCCTATGCTTCGCACGTGCAGCATTCCAAAGGCAAAAGCCACTTTGCCTTTCCATGACATCAGACATAAGTGCACAGCTGCTAAATAAAACACGACATCACTAGACACAGGACACAGATCTGTCTTCCCAAGTCAGCAGACAAAATAAGAAACTCATTCATCGGGCTGGGGTTGTGGCTCGGTGGTAGAGTGCTCACCTAGCATATGTGAGGCCCCAGGTTTGATCCTCAGCACCACATAAAGATAAATAAATAAAGGTATCGTGACCACTTACAACGAAAAAATATTAAAAAGAGAAACAAACAAATTCGCTCGTCAATAAGGACATGCTCATGGCCAACAGGAGGTGACATAAGCCTGTCCCACTCTCCAGGATGGGGCATTCAGGTCCTTCTGGGATCACCAAGAGGAAGCTGCCTATCATCACACTGTGGTGCAGTAATGAGCTTTCACTATCAGAGTCACCAAGTTCAGGCAATTACAGGAGCAGATCACCCCAGCAACAGGTCTCACTGATCATCCTAAGAAGAAACTGGGATACCTTCCCACAAATGGAATGTAATCCCAGCTAATATATGTCCCCAGTGCTTCTAAGTGCTCTTCCTAGCACATGCAAACTCTGGGGGTCGGGCACTTTGCTGGGTACTCAAAGCCAATCACTGATCCTCCTCATGCTACAAGGCTAGGGCCAGCATAACCAACCACCTCATTTCACAAACCACTATCTGCTCAGGCAGTGGGAGGCTACCCCCAGGCCACTCCAATGCTAAGTGGCAAAGACAATAGACCCAAGACCTGAACTCCTTACCCTGTATCATACTATGGGGTACATAGCAGAGAGCTAAAAGCAAAAGGCAGGGAAGCCCATACACTTTCAGGTCACGATTTTTTTTTTTTTTTTTTTTTTTTTTTTTGGATATCTGGGATTGAACTCAGGGGCACTCGACCACTGAGCCACCTTCCCAGCCCTATGCTGTATTTTATTTACAAACAGGATCTCACTGAGTTTCTTAGCTCCTAGCTTTTGCTGAGGCTGGCTCTGAACTCTCGATCCTCTTGTCTCAGCCTCCAGAGCCACTGGGAGCAAATGTTTTGAGAAGAGTCTAACATTCTTAAAACTGGCAGCACTCCGATATCAGGGTCAAATTCATGAGATGGAGATTGGTAGAAAGAAGGAAAATAAGATATAGAGGCTGAGACTCAAAGAACAAGCTTGTAGTGGGAGAAAGACCTGACTCACAAAAAAGAAAAAAGAGAAAGTCTACTGATTAGCAAAGGAACATGATGTACAGAGAGGCCTTCTAGCCAGAAGAGGTGAAGAACTGACTTTATAAAGAGGAGGAGCCCTAAGACAGAGGTGGAAGGTGAGAGGAAACAGTGCATCCAGCACTAGAACAGCACCTGGGCCCATGCCTTTGACAGTGCTTGGGCATCATGAGCACCACAGAATAATCTGTTGAACACACTAAATTTTCCCCACAGCCAACTTGCTGTATAATAAGATATGGCAGCAGCCAGGGGCGAATGCTGAGGAGAGCACCGAGTGTGCAGGACCCAGCACAGGACTGGTGGAATCAATGCAGCAGAATCCACTAAGTCCAAATATGACCATTCACCATTTCTTAATTCAGGGATAGAAAACAATCATAATAAAAGGGATGCTGCAAAGACACTAATCAGCTGCTACCATACCATAAAAATACAAAGCCCTCATGAGTCCGTGTGTGTGTGTGTGTGTGTGTGTGTGTGTGTGTGTGTGTTGGGTGGGGGGGGTTAAACAAAATAAATGCACATTTTCCATAGAATTCAAAATACATGTATGTTTAGAAAGTTTACTTTGCTGCTATCATCCCAGCAATTTAATAGTTTTATCTAATAAAAACTCTACTCCTGGCATATGCAGTTGTTTGGGGACAAAGGAGGATTATGTGATACAGGTGAACACAACCGACATATTATTGTTATCATATTATTTCAAAATACAGCAAATTTCAAGATCCAGAAACACTTGTCTTTAACATGCATGAAGTCTAGACACACCTCTAATTCCATACCATTTGAAACACAGAAAGCGGGGCCCTAGAGAAAGGCTACATAGAAAATACAAAATACACTAGAAACTACATTGATCTTTAAAGTACTTATATTCCACTCCAAATTCAAATAGAATGCAACTTGATGCATATAACAATTTTAAATCATATTCTACACCTTCTAAAATCTCATTTGTGAAAATCTACTTGACACTATGGGGAAATAATGCTTGGGGAAATAATGCTATGCTTTATGACAAGAGCAGGGTACAATTCCAAAACACAATGAAGCACACCCACACTAGAAGGGGACACTCTGCAGAACCACTGATGGTTCTGTCTATGTGCCAAGAGTGAAAGCTTTCTATTTCCTTCCATGTAGCCCACATTCCTAAGTTTCATAAATATTTAAGGAGCAGTAGTTATTTGTAAAAATGTCCTCCATAACTTACCACGTTGTAATAGCTCTTGTTGATGGCAGTTGTGTCAAACCCTTTGGGGGGGCTCTTCAAAGTTCCTGATTTGGGAGACACAGGTTTCTCTGGAATAAAAACACAAAGCAGTGTTACAGGCCAACACCAGAGATGGTAAAACGTGCTGGCCCAGCCCTCCTGCACCCACGACTGCTCACCCAGCAGCCTCAGCTCAAATAACCAGCCAGAAAAGATGATGAGGGAAGGGTCTAGCACATAGACCAGGTTCCCTCTGGCTGGATGTGTGGAGGTCATGGCCCAGTTCTTCAGCTGTGGATTGGAAATGAATGAGAAATTATGCTTCACAAGTGTCAGCCAAAAACAAGAGGTGAGCTTCGCATATAGCTTCACAGCATCCTAAATACAAAACATCACACAAAAAAGAAAATGCTGGCAGGTACAGACAAACATCAGAACATCGAGACCCTGGTTCTAGACCAACTCTCGGGACTCCGAGTGGGCAGAACGCACAAGGCTTCCCAACCAGCAGAGAGACAAGAAAAAGGAAAGAAGAGGGGCAAACCCAGGGAAGCAGCACCATGCTGCAGCTCGGCGTCAGACGCAGTCGGGCTGCGGCTGGGACGTGTGAGAGCTCAGCACACATCCAAGACCCCTGGCAGAGTAGGAGTGAAGGAGTGTCTGCTCCTCAGAAGCAGTGCGTGCCTGTGTCTGTGATGGTTCCATAGGCAGCGGGCATGCAGGTCGGTGTGTGGTGTCCACCAGGGGTTCTCCGCAGCCTGCCCATCCATATTGACCCATGGCTTGCCTTCAGGTGTGCTTGGCACCCTGATTATTACTGGCTCTGTGGGGAGGGGCCGGTGGTACAAGTCTAACTGGCTCTGTGATCCATCTATCACTGGCCCTCTGGGGCTACAGGATAAGGCATCACATTGGGACAGCGGCCTCTTCCATATTCTCTACCAAGAAATTCTTCTGAATATTTCCTAGGGGACTTACATCACAGTCCCCCTCATGCCTCACCTCCCCTGAAAGAATCCTGCTGTGTGAATCCTGATACTGGGCAGGGACACATCCGGTCCCTGTGGTGTATGAGGTGATGGCACCTGTCCACAATTCTAGTGGCCCTCCACTCTTCCTCTGCCCACAATCTCACACGCACAGGGCTCTAGGCAGCACCTGCCAAACTCAACACTCCCGAGCTGCAAGTTCTAAAGTCAACTGCTTGTGCAGCATCTCTAATGTCTTCCAGACACAACGACAAGCCCAAAGTGCCCAAGAACTCACAACCCTCAACCTGGAGCATGCTTCCCCTTGGAGGTGCTTGCTACCTTTCTGAGCACCTTGATGTCAAGAACAAAACTGAAGATGCCCTTCCCAGGTGAAAGAACTCTCTCAATCCATGGAGGGAAAACAACCTGCTTCTAAATGCAAGTAATACACAAGGAAAACGACCTGCTCTATACACACCCTCCTCCTAAACTCGGCTCCTCCTATGCTAAAAAGGTAATTATTAGAGAAGACTGACACTTTTACATGAGAACAATGTTTTTTTCCATCTTCGAAGTCTGCAATTTGAGAGCAAAACACAAAGGGACAATGAAGGTGAAATGGCTGAAGGCCAACTCAAAGCCACCTTGACCCTAAACCACACAAGAAGAGCACATATATTAGTACTTATGCCTGCGTGGTTAACTACACGAGCATAACCTTGAATCTGCTGTATCTTAAAATAATGAATTTGATATTTTATTTAAACTTAAGACATACCTCATTCTCAACACAATAGTTAATTGGACTCAATTTCCTATGAAAACATTAAGGAAAAAGATTTTCAATTAAAAAGGTTCAGGCTACTCATTTTATACAAAAATATAGAAAAGGTACAAAGAGGAAACAGAGACAAATCAGAGTAATCCCACACAAACTGTCTTTTCTCCCTCTGGGGCTGCTACATGGACAGCACTGAGGCAGGCAGGTCTCCTGATCACATTCCCGAATATGCCCTGCAGTCAGTTGTTAACAGAAGGCTCCAAAGGCCACAACCCCTCCAATGAGTGTCCACAGCAGTCCTACAGGAAGCAGACTACACAAACAGCTGAGGTAGATCCCCTCCAAGGACAACCAGCAGGCCGCCCCTTCCTCCTGACACAGGAGTCACTCATCTGCATGCTCATGCCAAGTGTCTGGGATCCAGGAATGTCAATCCAGGAGGGGACATATGTCAACAGAACAGGGCAGGCAGTAGGCAACCTCAGGGTCCTTTGGTAGCTTCTACCAAAAAATGGAGGACAAAAATGTAATACAGGTGAAGTTATGGTCATTCATAATAGAAAAAAATGCATATAACCAGGAAATTGGTCCCCAAACATTCAATCTCCTTAGTTCCCTGCAAAAACAATATGTTTAGCCCACCTTATAGCTAAAAGTTATTTAAACTCGCTATTATTGAGGTGTGGGGAAATAAAGAGGACAGAATTCAGTGCCACTTTCCCAGGGCTGCCTGATATAGCAGGTCTTCTCTTTCCTGCAATAAACTCAAAAAACTTACGCTGAATACAAGAGAATTCAAACACAGATGTGTGAAAGAAAAACAAGTGAGGAGAGTCCCAAAGCGCCCACAATCTCACTGCTCCACCTGTGAGAGGGGGTAACTCATCCTGGTCCCTGGCAGGGCCATAGCCAACACATGGAGGCAAGGCACAGCCCAGTCCCAGTCCCAGCAGGGCCAATGCAACAGAACCTCCTGGGTGAGCCCCATGAAAAACAGCTTAGGTGCTTTCGTCCACTGGCCCAGAACCATGAAGCCACATACATCTCCTCCAAAGAAACCTGCCTGAGGAGTGTAAGCCACTGAAAAAATGAAGCCTGAGCCCAGGGCTGCAACAGGCACAGGAGCCAAGTTCCCAAAAGGCAGAAACGAGACAACCGAAGAAGTGTGTTTAAAATGACAAGGAAGAGAGGGACCAAAATGAGTGAAAAAGGTAACCTGAACATGAAGAACAACTGAAAAAGAATGAAGCAAAACTTCTAGAAATAAATACTATGATCACTCAAATGAACATCTCAATGGACCCATTAACACCACAGGTGAATGGGAAATCCATGAACCAAAGTTTCCCAATTTGAGGAAGTATTCAAAATTAACACCGTCTGTGAAACAAACCAGAGAGAGAGAAGAGGGGAGAGGAGAGGAGGGGTGGAGGGAGGAGAGGAGAAGGAAAATGAAAAACTGGTTAAAAACCAAAACCAGGCCTTCACAGGATCTTCATGAGAACACAGGGAAGAGGAGGGGCAGGCTTCAGCAGACCTTTCCCGAGCCGAGAAGCCTATGTCCTGCGCTGAGGCGGGTCAGCCACGGGCAAGCCACAGCAGCAGCACTGGAAGGTGCTAGCTGGCTGGGCCACGATGGCCTCTTCTTGCATGGCCAAGAGGAGGCCAAACACAAGACTGCCACGCGGCCCTGCCCAGGGGCCTATTCTCCTGGCTCCCTCCCGGTCTTCCTTGTTCCCTCTGCTCCTCTTCCCCTTGCCTGGAAGTCACCATGTGCCCTTTGCCCTGTGGAGACTGCAACTCCCCACTCACCATCCACTCTCACCCTCCCGGTTCCCAGGTCCTGACTCCATCAGGTGCTGAGTCTCCTCTTCTCTAAGGGATGAGCTGCTGACAGCAATTACTTCTGATTTGTCTCTGAAAATGCTGTAATTGTGCAGTTACTGTTTTCTCCTAACTTTACTACAGTAAAAAGTAGAGCTTACACAGCCATTAACATTTTGCCAATCTTACCATATATTACCCCTTTTTTCTTTTCTGGAAACAATATACAATCAACCCCAGAAACGGCATCATTTTATCCATCAATAGTTTAATGTTCACCTTGCCAGAGTGACCTTTTTTCAGTTTTAAGCAAAAACCCTACTATCAGGCTATTAATCACATCAAAAAAAAAAAAAAAGTAACTTTTAGTCTTTTCTAATGGCTCATCTGTGTTCAAACCTTGTTTTTCGTGACAACAACTTTGGTAAGTCAGTTCATTTCAATCAGAGGCCAAACAGCACCGGTGCATCTGACTGAAGCTCCTCTAAGTCTCTTGCATTCTACAAAAGTGCCTGCCCTCAGTTCTGGATGTCAGCAGATAGCACAGGGACCACTACCCTCCCTCACCTCAGGCACTATTCAGGCTGCTCCTGCTGTGCCTCATAATTCATTAAAAACCCTGTTGCTTTTCCCACTACGGTGTTTCTCCATTCCTACAATGCAGAAGGTTGCTCACTCACATGTGTGCCGCCGAATGGGTATTGGTTGTAGTCTCAGAATCAGATGCACTTGCTAACAGTCTTGACAACGCAATATGAAAATATAGCTGACCAAAGACAGAAAGCAGGAGGGCAAAGAACAGGGCCATGTTAAGTCACTGTGTCGCAGCAGCAGCAAGAGAGAAGCACACAATGCTGATGAGACGCAAGATGGCCTATATCACTAGCATCACCAACTAGAGGAATATGAAAGCAAAATAGCACAAGGAGGTAGGAGGAAAAGGCAAGACAGGAGATAAAACCTCCACATCCTCCCTGGAAGGGGGAGAAGAGCCTGAGCAAAGGCTGCCACTGGGCAGGGCCTGGAAGCATAGGGGACACTGCTTCACATTACAAAGGTACTTCCATCCTACATCCTATATGACCTGTTTGTATTATTTAACATAAATAAGAATAACTTTGGGGGGAAAGAATGCCTCTCATAATGAAAGACTAAGGACCTGACTACAAACTGCTATATATGATTCTCATCTATGGGATGCTCCCCTTCAAGTGAGGATGATTGGTCACTGTCATCAGGAGATGGCCATACAGAACAAGTCACACCAAACACTGTGACATCTGTGCTGGGGTGAGTGCACACTGGTTTGTTAAGCTGCATGAATACTTGCACTGAGATTCCAAAGATTCCAAACCATCTAGTCCCAGATCCTGATACCTAGCACTGTGCTCTCCACATGTGCCTCAGAGGCTCGAATCTTCCAATCTATGCTCTTAACAAAATCATCTGTATCTGGATGACTCCTTTATATTCTGGGTGCACTGGGGAAAATACTGTTTGCAAACAGGTCCCT